TAATTCAATCCAATCGCATCTCAGGTCTTAGCCTCTATTTTTAGGTCAGTTATGATCGAAATGGAATATAAATAGGTTTGGGGCTATTTAGTAACCGTCTCTCAATTTATTCCCGATATAAAAAAAAGAAAAAAAAAATACCAACCTATGTAAGTATGATTTAATCAAAACGCATATGCATTGCACAATAATAAACAGTAGACTAGAATACAAAATTTTTAGTCTTGTGCTTAATCGGACATCTGCAGGTTCGCACCGTAATAGTACTATTAGTACAGCTTTAGTAGAAGTAGAAAACTTAAGCGTTTGTATTGATATTACCAACATTAAAGAAACGGAATACTAATAATTAAATAAATTAAAATACGCAATTAAAAAAAAAAAAAAAAAAGTGTTATAGTTTTTTTTTTTAATATGGATGGCTTTGTATTAGGCAGTTACTTTTCTTCAGTATAGAAATAATTAAACAGTTCTTGATTATTTTTAATGTGTTATCCCTTTCTAAATAACATAAACCTTAACAGTTTGACTTTTAAATACGATTTTTAGATTACTTTACACTAAATTTTTAAGCATAGGTACTATTTGATTTTCCTTCATACTTTACAACCCAACGTATTGTAGTACATCCTGTATCGCTGTCTCTTTTACTCTCACACTGTTTACCAATACAGAACAATAAAGCGGAGCATTAACAGTACGTCGCACAGCGAACGAACGTGGACACTAGTAGACAGAAACAACAACAATAAATAGTTACAGTAGATAGTTTTAGTACTGCGCTTGAAGTTGTCAGTGTGTACTAATAGTGCAAAATGTCCGATTAACAGCTGCCTTTCGGAAACATTACTTTTAGTACAATACCCAGTACTAGTACCTATCAGTACATCGTACGTGTACTACCCAAGACTAAAAATTTTACTGGGCGTCGCGGCGTGTATAACAACTTGTTATTCCTCCAGTGCAAACTAGCGTTGTACGCAACCTAATTTCAATTTGTATTCGTCATATTTAGCCTCAAACAAATATAGCTTTTAAAAAGACAGTAAAATTATAATCTACCTTACTTAACAGGACGAGAAAAAAAAATCACGTACCATATGTGTTGACCTGTGGGCGTAGCAAAGACAATATATTTTTGCTGTTATCCCACTTCTGAGCTGAAACGCTCAGAAGGATGGGGTTCTTGATGTAAACACAAACTTTGTAACAGTATTTTATTTGACTTTTCAAAAAACTCTCGCTACACAGCTGTACCCGACGGGTTCACAAATCCAATAATAATGGCGGGTTCACAATTCGAAAAAATGGCGGGTTCACAATTCAAAAAAATGGCGGGCCGAGACAGTGTTGCAACATTCGGAAAACAATCGATTCATGAGTCGACTTAAAATTATGATTATGAATAACTTGGGTTTTTAGGAATATTACTATTAGATTAAATTAGTGTTTAAAGTGACTAATATTATTAATTAGTGATGAGTATAAATATGGTAAGGGATAAAATTAATGACTGTTACATATAAATATATATATATTATATATTATAATATATATATACGTTTATATATATATATATATATATATATATATATATATATATAAACGTAATAAAAAAAAAAGTTAGTCACGACCATTTTTTTCGTGATTTGGACAATTTTCTACGTGATAAAAATTTTCTTCCCAGGAGGCCAGGAGGTCCAGGAGGGTTGTATCTTAAAGCCATAAACAAACTTCCGTTTAGATGCAGCAATGTATAAATAATGAGGGTCAATATTGTGATTAAATAAATACGTATATAACAAAGAAAAATAATCATTTATTCACAAAGTTTAGCGACATGCATAAAATAAACAGTAGAAATAAAGATAAACTCGTGTTACCTACCACTAGACTACAAAAAGTAAGCAAGTCTTTTCGTTGTCAGGGTGTGCGATTTTACAATAAAGTGCCAAGCAAATTCCATGAATTAAGTATTAACAAATTTAAGTCTTTAGTAAAGCTAAAACTATGTGAAAAAGCCTTCCTACACTATTACAGACTATTTGGACGACAAATTTGCTTGGGATTGATGCTGCTCACTCCCACATTTACGTAGACATCTTTGTTGTTAAGTTTGAAAGTGATGAACATTTAATTTTTTTTTTTTTGGTGTATTTCGTATTTTGTTTTCGTATTTTATTTTTCGTTGACTTTGAATTGTATAGTATTTTTTTTTTTGTGTAAGTATGTAAATGTGAGTATAGTGTAGGCTTGTAATGTTAATTCATATTTTATTATCTTTCTGGTGGTTTTGAGTGTTTCCAAGGCCTACCCAAATGTCCTGCTGGCGGTAGTGTCATGCTTCGGGTCGTTGATCTTGACCAATATCGGTTAGGCTACACGATGGCTGGAGCCTGTATGCCGTCTGTATGGACAGGCTGACTCAAAACTATGGTCCTTTCCTCAAAAGGCATATCCAGACCCTATACTGTACTCGAACAGTTTTATTTAACTTTGTTTACGGACTTAAAATAAAAAAGACACCTCTGTGGTTTGTTTCGGCGTTTCTTCCCAGAGTGAGTCTTAGGAAATGCCGGCTCCTTCTAGCTATAAAGTCCGACTTGTAAAAATATCTCAAAAGATTTACTTACAGAAATAAATATCATTTATAAATATCATTTATCATACATCTTAGAAAAAAACGAGTTTTAATTTTTCAGTACAAATCGGCAATTACATACTTTAACCCCTAATATGTACAAAAAACATTACCGCTTTGCCTATAAATTTTGCACCAGTTCAACAAATAAATTCAGTTTTATTTTTGTTACTTCTTACTATTTTAACCATTGATTGTGAAAAAAATGTATTTTGCGAAAATTGACCAATATCTTAAAAACATTCCTAGTTTGTGAAGGTTCTTAAAAGGTATCACAATGTGAGGTTTACAAACAATATTAGTTGTAGGAGTGAAAGAAGGTCTTATCAAAGTCAGAAAAAATTATTACCTGAAATGTATCAATTTCTTGTTATTCCTTTAACTGCACAAAGTTATTTTATATGACAAGTCCATAGAATTATTTTATACCTAAAGATTTTACATGCGGCTAGCAAGTGAGTTTAAAATGGCACTAATTGTACTACTATCATTACCAAAGGGTTCAAACTTTAATGCCTAGAGATGCGTTATTGAGAGTGACATTTTGTCGAATATAATGTTGCGAAAGATCAGACAAGGTCCAAATATTTTCGACAAAATTTTATGAAGTGACAAGTCAATGTGCCGGTGAGATGATTATCTCGTCATGCATAATTAACGCAGTTGGCAATTTGAAAATCCTAGATTAATACGCGTGGACAGAGCGCAACTACAATTTAAATTTATTTATAAGACAGGGATTATTGGTGGGACGACGACGGATGTCCCGCGGATTTTGCTGTCCAAGTACGAGAGTATTTAAATAATACATACCCAGAAAGGTGGATTGGGCGCTTGGGTCCAATTTTAGGGCCACCATGATCTAAACTGAAACTCTGAACTTTTTTACTGGGGTTGTAGTAAAGAAAAAGTTTTCAGCAAAACAATTTCTTCAATTGAAGAATAGCGCGAGCGTTGCACGTTATACGCTCTTAAAATTTAAGATACAGGACTCGCACACCGGATTATAAAATCTTTTATTCGACGATGCAGAGCCTGCCTCGCTGTTAATGGAGAACATTTTGAGCATTTGATTGAATATTTGGTATAACAGTTGGTGAAGTGCCTAACCATGAAATAATATCACGATATTAAGACATTTCAGGAAAAAACAATTTCTGACCTTGCTCAGTTCTTCCACTCCCACAAGTAATATTGCTAGTAAACACCACTTTTGTAGAATCTACACAAACTGAGCATGTTTTTAAGATAATGGGCAATTTTCAACCTCTATTAACTAAAATCCATTGAAAAGATCCATGATGGATTTTTGTGCACTTTCTCTACTTTAATATACTTAACAAATTTTTACAGAAAATCGATCTTTTAGGATATATAAGTCTCAAGAAATCCATTTAAATTTATTTTTACTGCTTAGTACGTAGGTAATATACAGAAATACTTCAAAGCAGTATGAACTGATATTAATTTAATAGTTGCTTATCAGAATACTTCTCTGGCCATTTATAAAATTATTATTTATTTTAAATAGACAAAAAAATAATATTAAAAAAAAGAAAAATACGACTAGTTTATTACGAATTCCCAAATGGAGAAATACCCGTTGAGCATTTCTTAGAAAAAATACAATATATTTATAGGTTATAAATATATTGCATTTTTTAATAAATATATTTTATAGGTATTAAAAAAGAAAATGATGACCCCATCCTTTTCTTTTTTTTTCTGAAATTGACAATAGAAGGTGAAAAAAAGCATTCCTCGTATACCACTATATAACCTCGTATAACCTATAATGGATTTATTGAAACTAGTAAATCCTAAAAGATCCATTTACGACTGGCCTGTTGCTCTAGTGGTTAGTGGCCCTGACTGCTAAGCCGGCGGTCGTGGGTTCGATTCCCACCCAGGACAAATATTGTGTGATGAGCGCAGTCTGTGTTTGGTTCTGTGTCTGGGTGTAATTTATCTATAACATATATGTATTTAAAAATAAATAAATATGTTTATCAGCAGTCTGGTTAACACAGTACAGGCTCTGCCTAGTTTAAAATCAGAAGGCCGGCTGTACATTTAAGAAATTCTAACTAAGCACTTTTCATACAGTTATAAACACATTCTATTCTTTGCTCCTTACAACGGTTTGGTAGTCTCACCTACAGAGTGGGTAGTAGTGTAGTAAGACATAGATCAAGTGAAAGTAGATATTTTAGAACAAAAGTTAATGAATTCTAACTTTACGTTCGGGTATCGGTCAATACGTGGTAACATTATTTACTTTATTCCTAAATAGCAACATAGTTTAAGCGTTGTTTTATCAGCCTCAATATTATTATGGATTAGCAAAGCAATAATTTTTTTACTTGCCTAATTCCTCGGCGGTACAAAGTCCAGGCACTTCAAAGACAGCACAGGCGATAGGAATAGGTAGACAGAAGATAAGTAACCAAATCCAGTCATAGATTGCGGCGCTTCCCCACATCACAGCTGGATGAATCCCAGCGGACCTCTGAAGCAACTTCGCGCCTGAAACGCGTTCCTGAAGAACGTAAATATTTGTAGGAAAAAATCTCTGTATTTTATTATTCCACATTCTATAGAAGTAAGAGTATGTAAGTTGTACGTGTGTGTATTGGTGTACTTATATGTGTGTGTACCCTTTACAAATATAAGCAACCTGATTAAATAATATTACAGGATGCGTGTAGCACTTGAGGAGGCGCAACGTGTATCGAGAAGGAAATGTCCTGTTCATAAACACTTTGTATTTTTAATATTGAAAAACATCAACGTCCATGACACGCAAAACAAGAATAAAAGTGAGTCACTGTGTAGTAGGAAAGAACAGAGAACAATAAAACGATCGAAAAGTTTTCTTCTTGTCATCCATCCGTGCGTTTGTATGTGTTAATGCTTTTATGCCTCAATTACTCGACTCATCTACATGAAAATTTACACGCACGTTGCACGCAAAAATGTTTTATAGAAAAGACTCTACAAGGTTTATCTTTTATAAAAAAAGTTATGAACTGAAAAGTAAAATTATTAAGCTAAAACATAACCAAATAGAAATACCTTGATGTAAAACATGATGTATACAGCCGTCGTGATTGCAACGCTGCTACCGATCCCCGTTGAGAGCTGCATAGAAATCAAGCTAATCATCATCTGCATGTCGGTCTGAAAATCAGTCCATCTCGTGAGTATTACTAAGTAGAGACTAAGTAAATATGTAGTTAAGCGTTACGATTATAATTATAGTACACAAAGTCTTACCTGATCTGCATAAGTGGCTTTCAAGGGATGATTGTATACGGTAAGTTCAGCATCAGGGTTATATGTTTTCAATAATGCTGAATGTACCGCTGCTAAAGAAACCGCCACATCATGGTAGCCGAAGTTGCTAAACCAAGCAGTCACAGAGTTGTCGGAGAATGATGAACCGATTAGTATCCGATAACGTAAAGCCCCCAACACAATAGGATCACGTGTCTGAAATTATTTTTCCACTTAGTTTGATGTACATATTTTTGACATTGCGTGCATTTTTAATTGTAGTTTTTCCTGAACTAGTTTATCCTAATTGACAAAATCTATTTCAAATTCCTAGATTACACCCGCGAAACACGCATATTACCACATAAGTTACATATTTATGTCACCGATACATATTTATAAAAAGATCAAGGGCAGAAATATTTAATTTATCGAAAAATATACTATACCTATAAAAACTACACAAAAAAAAAACACACCAAAGCTTCTCAGGACTTCTTCTTGTTGAAAAATTAACAGTGAATAATTTGAAGTAGTTTAGTGGCCCGGTGGAAAAACTTTAAACTGAAGTTTCACAGGATTTCTATCGTACTTCGCTTGACCGCAAATAGTACACTCTTTGTTGAATTTAGTGTTTTTATTTGTGTTTTTCATTTTTAGTTAGTAGTATTTTCGAGAGGGCTAGATAGAATTCGTTTATGGCATGATAGTTTAATGAATATTGCCATTAAATAGAACAACCCTAAATGCAGGTTTTTCTATTCAAATATTACAGAAAAGACGAATGAGTAAACTAATGTGCATACTTACTCTATTCAAATAGTATTCCTCCATTGGTGCTTCACCAATCGGTGTAACTGACATTCTGTGAACGTTAGCATTTTCAAACATCTCTTGGTAAGATTCTGCTGCCAAAACGCCTACCGTCGAATTGCTGTTGCAACCCAATAAAGTCTCTGTTTGCTCAAACCTAAACATTGAAACATTTTTGTACTGTAATGTTTGAAGGTTACACTGAGGGTAGATGGTAAACATATTCTTTAAAAAATCGGTCTTATCGATCAGTATTGTAAATTGACAACCATGGCATCCCTAACAATTTTGTATATACCTTATATGGTAGTAACAGTATACTAGTAAATCGTCCTACAGTGTAATTGATGCAAACGCTGACGTTTGCATCTGTATTTCTTTAAACGGCCCATAGATATACATATATAAGCTAAAGGCAATCATGATTCTTCTGATTTTAGAAGCTATGCTTACAATTATCCCCTTTTTAAAGAGCGTTTACATCATTACTATAGTATGTAAAAATTTCAAATAAAGTATAACAGAATACCTTCCACGTACCCTGTGGTGAGTGCAAGTTTCCTCTTTTTAATAGTTGGGACGAGTGACAATATGTATCGCAGTAGGCCAAGTGCTGCAGTAAGTAATAAGGTGGGTATAACAAACTGAAGTATTACGAGCCACCACGAACGTCTCCAGACGAGTGATAGCTTGAGCCAAACCGCCAACATACGTTGCATGAGTAACGCGTGCCCTGTTTTTGAACTTTTAGGACTATTAACTGTAGGGAAAAGACAGAAATTCAAGTGAACGAGGTTTCCGTTGTCATATGAAGAGCGTATGTTATTGAAGTGACATAAACCATAGCATCTATATTTAGAATTTATTAATTCTCCTGGATTTTAATAGGAAATCATGAAGGGTCAAAGTTTTAGCAATTAAAATTGACTTCTTTTGTAACACGTATTAATATCAGAGCAAATCAGTGACTATTGCGAGTATACTAATACGTACATTGCTCTAAAGCTGATGTAATTTCATTAGTTTCCTTCTCATCGGTTGTAACTTCCTTAGCATGACGCTTTTCGCCAGTTGCCTCGGTTTTAACCGGTGCCAAATCTGCACCAACGCTATAGGTAACATATAAATAATTATTAGATAGTTACTTAGCAACTAGCGGAGCAGTACTTTGGTCTGTAACAACTTCCTCTCGCCTTTTTTTGCAGTCTGTATAACAGGAAGCCGAAGAAAAGCGCGCTATTTCATTTGACAAATGGGCGCGAGGTGTTATTATAGTTGGCCGTCAGATAGTAGACGAGATGTTGATGTTAACCTTTTGTCCCCCTGATTGAATTATGTTAGCAAGTTTTATTTATTGCCCACTTTTTTATTCATTCTGTACCAAATTGTAACGCCGCAGCAGCCGCCGGGCGCCAGATCATCTCTCTAGTTGGTGAATCATTTGGGTTAGATGAGTTTATAATAATATGATGTTGCGATTAAAACTACTTTTGACTGATTTTGCTGGTTAAAATACTTTTGATCGGTTAAGAGTTCTGACATGTATAAAATAATGTGCAGCGCAATACGTAAATTTAGCAGTCAGTAAAACGGTTCTTGGATATTTTTAGACATGAAGAAAAGGCACTCGATGCTGTTATGATAAATCTCTATCAACGTCTTCAACAAATCAGCACCTTTATCATTTGAATTATATTTGCTTGCCGGTGTGTAAGTCATAATACGACGTTACCATTCGTAATAGGACTGTATCACTATGACAACGTTGCTTGGCAGGTATTATTTGACTAATTAGGTTTTAGGAAATCTGAGGGACAACGCAGACTATATGTATTTGCTTAAAACTTTTATTCAGTCTGTTTTTTTAAATCAAAATAATATTACTTAGGCAAGTATTTAATTTATAATTTATTAGGTATTCTAAAACCTAACATTTAAAAGAAGGTAGGAAACTTCCGGAAACTAAGGTTTTAACAATAGTGCTGCCAGTTTTAGAAACTGGTAGATCCATCACATCTTGCAACCATGTTTGAACGGGCGGCGCCACTTCTAAAACCTTCCCAAATCTCATGTACGTGGGCCCTGAAATTGGTTACTGATCTTACTCGCGTGGAGCCCCAATTTTGAACCGTTAAACCTCATAAATTTGCAATGGGGTTTAGGTCAGGACTTCTTTGCGGGAGTTTAATTAATTGTAAATCTTCTTGTTGAGCTATCCGCCCCTGGACCCTTCTTGCATAGTGTACGCAACTTCCATCCTTTACAAATTCGATTCTGTGACCATCGGAATAAACAATTTTACCGGTGGGAAGAAATACATCTTATAAGCTAGCTAGCTAATAGTAATCGATACCTGTTAACATCAAATTGAATTTTAAAAAAACAACAGTCTTGACTTAATCGCCATTATTACAATAGGATTTACTTTTGTAAGGAGATTTTTATAATTTATCAAAGAATTTAAGAAAAAAGAAATCGAAGCATCAAAATATTTATCATAGATAATTTGCAAAGATATTTATGAACCTTAATTGCACTGAAAAAAATGAACAAGGGATTGCGCACAATATTAAGAGACTTTGTCTGTAGCAATATTATTGATATTACGAGTATATATGTAGTTATATATTTATGATATCACGGAGTGTTTACAATTTATTGTAAGGCAAAGCTGTTTAGAGTTTTATGAAACATACCTTTATATTTTTGATGCATGAACATGGTCAGATAGAACTCGGCTGTACACATAACAAGTATTAAACTACATTACATTTAAAATTGTAGAATTTTTCTTTTTGTAAGAAAATAATTACTCTTGATGATACTTTTACGTTAGTAGCAAAGAAAATTACACTCATCGGTTACACAAAAAGTACGTTGGACTATTTTTTATAATTGTGACATTCAGGTTATTATAATAACCACTTTTTATTGACACACAATATTTCAGTGTATAAAAAGTACGTACGACATAAAAACATCTTCGAGCGTGGTAGTCAGCAGACCATAATTTGTGAACTTGATAGTGTTTGCGTTTTGTTCCAAATTGTTTAACATATCCTCAAACTTGTGTGAATATTCATTTGGTAAACTGTAAGTTACTTCAGAACCTTAAATATTCCAATTAACAATATTAATAATCTAAAACCTTGGGTGTTCGGTTTCTCAATTCGCCAATAATTAATATTGTTTTAAATTATGATAACTTACCTCTGTCTTCTTTCACTACAGTGTTAGGAATGTAATTATTAATAAGCGCAGTGCAACGTTCGGTGTCAAAATTGTCGCCTTTCACAACGACGAGTGTATATCCGACTCCATAATGACGTTTGAGAAAATAAGGAGAGCCGACACATTGTAGTCTACCTTGAGCCATTATTGCCACTCGATCACCCAAAATGTCTGCTTCGTCCATAAAATGGGTCGTTAGGATCATTGAACGTTCTAATTAAACATAAACATTAGATCAGCCATATTATACCTCCTTGTATTGTAACTTTGATAAAGTTTTTGATATACACGTTACGTTTTGTATCACACAAAGCCGTGTTTTAAAATAGGAACGTGTAACTCACATCCAATGTCTGCGAAATGATACGTAACATTATTATATGTTAGTTAAGGCTACGGTAATTAGAATTACAAATATCTATTAGCGTAGCTTTAACTACACATTATTAAAACTTAAAATTACCACTTTTATAGTAGGTATTGTACATTTTAATAACCTACGCTTTTTTTCATTTTGCAATAAATCCCACAGGGCGCGTCTAGAAGCAGGATCCATGCCAGATGTTGGTTCGTCTAGAAGTACCACTTTCGCTCTGCCACTTAGTGCAATACCAACACATAAGCGACGCTTTTGGCCACCAGATAAACCACTGGACGGATAATCACGCTGAAGTTTTAAATAATACCCGTTACATAAGAAAAAAATGTAACAATTACATCACGGTTCAGCAATTGTAACTAACCTTTGACTCAAGTTCCAGTTTTTTAATGAGTTCCTCTATGTCAGCTTTTAGTTCAGTACCAGTGAGACCCTTCAACCTTGAAAAAAACTTCAAGTGTTCTCTGACAGTCAGTTCATCAAAGAGTACATTGTGTTGTGGACATAACCCGATATGAGAGCGAGCAATTTCAGCTTGCGTACTCATGTCGTACCCAACCACATTGACTTTACCAGACGTCGGTTGTAGGTTACCTGTAATGTAATTCTATCATCTGTGCTATGTACGAGGGAAAAATTTGCATGCTATAGGTTGAAAAAAAAAAATGGTTTTTATGGATTATTATGGATTATGGATTAACTCCATGAATTTAAACAAACCTGTAAGCATAGAAATAGTTGTAGTTTTGCCAGCGCCGTTGTGTCCCAAAAGAACTGTTATTTGATCGTTGTAAACATTGAAATTTAAATGATTAACTACAGTGTTATGTCCGAAGATTTTGGTCAAATTCTAAAAAGGAAACATGGAAAATATAATAAAATTCTATATTTTTTAATACAAATAGCTAGTTGTTAACTTCTTCTATATACCTAAAAGGAATATATTTTTCTCCCTTTCAACTCGAAACTGCTTTAACCCCTGAAGACTTCAAGTGAGTTGGGCCCTTATGTGATCTAAACGGGATATCTGACTGCTCTTCGGCACCTAATGCGTGTTTTGTGACCAGACTGAATCGTTTCCTGTCCGCAACTTTCTCGACAAATTATCTGATACGCTGTTACTTCAGATAAGTAAATAAATACGAGTAGAATAGTATTCAGCAACACATTTTCCACGCAAAGGCAAACAAATGACAAAAAGCGAGTTAGCACTAAAAATAATTTTATAACATAATGCTAATAGTGCCGAGATAACTATTTTGCGTAACTTTTCTTAAATCAGTTACTTTAGAAAGTAAGTCCTGTGTTAGATTTGTTTAGTCAATCGTAACTGCGTTATTAACAATTAATTATTACTTAAGCAGTAACAGTTAGAGTTCATTAAATAATTTCATTATAAGTCTATGTTTAGTGAGTGTGAGTTAGCCTTTAGCTATATGGTCAATATCACGTATAGTGTGATTGCCCTCTAGCAAAGAACAGAGCTAAACACTATCAAAAACAAATTGTACCAATATCCGATAATCGCATGTTCTGCTGTCACTGGTTGCGTACGCACAATATCTACAGCTGCCCTTGGCAGCGGCAGGTATTCACTGTGATCATCAATAATTTGGAGTCGACTATAAACTGAAGTGCGAAGGAGTAGCCATACATGAGTAAGATTCTCGTGGATACGACACCGCTCTTAAGAGCAACCTGTTACGCTCCAGGATACTTCTGTGGTTTACATAGCCAAGATAGACTGGCTCAACATAATACTAAAGTTTGATTCCTTGTTATCGCGGTTCATTACTGTTTATATCGAAACATTGAAAGCCAGTGGAAAGATGTCCAGCCAGGTGTAGTCTTAAGGTAGCTTTCAGTTCTTAGCTACCGCGACGTACGACCGGGACCCGCGACCACGATTAGGTCGCGCGACCCACTGCTTTGTATGAATTTATATGAAGTACTAAACAAACACCGCGACCGCGTCGCGCGACCGGTGGGCGTGGCCAGATAGCGGCGCGGCCACCGCAACCCCGTCGCTCTAGAGGCAGTCAAAGAAAAAAAGAGTGTCGCGCATTGTGTCGCCGGAGAGCTATGGGTCGGCCCGCGACCGGCGAAGTCGAATTGTCGCCGTCGCTACGAACCGAATGCTACCTTTGCTCAGTCTAGGTTTATCAAGGCAACATAACAATATGTCTTTATTGTATACCATTTTCGGTATTCCGTATTTTTGAGGTTCATAACTATTTAGTATGTGTAGATAAGCAAGAGGCAACGTCAGATTTTTCGTGATTACGTAACAATACTTACTTCTATTTTAATACCAATAGATAGATGTTCAGGATCCTTTTCTTGTACAATTTTATAATCTTCTCCACTATCAGGTATGTTATTCTTGCGAATGACATTGACTGCTATTTATAAAAAAACGATAATTTAAAATAAAGTTTATTGGTGTACTCATAGTACTCATAATTGTAACCACAATAAGAATTACATATGTAGGTATAGACTCCTAATATTTTTATGACTTATATAATTTATCGGGGTATTGCCCTAAATTTAATATTTTAGTATTACATCGTATTTTGAAAATTCATACCTGATTGATATGCGTGAATGATGGAAACGTAAAAGGCATGAAGTGGGCGAAGCTCAGACCGCTCAGTATTTGACTTAGTAATACCAATCTTGTTTTTCCATTTATTTGCAACTTCTTTTAAATTAAGGCCTGTTGATGTACACAATCTTTAATTTTTCATGTGAAATGCTGAAGGAATGAAACCGGAACCTACTTTTGTTCTGCAGTAGCTATTAGTTTATTGCTAAGAAGCTAATGATTAAGTAACGAGACTTTTCCTCTATATGATCCAAACATAACTACATACATATAATGTAGAAATTAAGATAGATAATAATACGGCTGTTTAACTAATAAAATAAATTTATTATATATTATATAAATTTATAAAGAAAATATAAAGGAGCGAAGGAGCACACGCGATGACGGCTAATCGTGTACTAAAGGTGTAATTATCATTTATAAGTAAAGTGAGCAAATTGCTGAGGTAACATTATTGTTCAGTGTCAGCGTACATGCTCCGGGGCCAAAAGCATACAAAAATCACACATCTTTGATTTTAAAGTTACACTTTTTGACAATAGGTGACGTAGCTTTATCCCGTTCACAAACAGTGTGTGCACTTACAATCACTTCACTAGGCTGACGGTCAGCCGTGCTCTGCTTTCGCGAATACACTACACTATTGGCAACACTATTTAACACTTCCACTGAAGATGCTGCACGTCTCCACATTGATAGAAAGTACGCTATCGCCATAACCGCTATACCCAGCAAGCTGTAGCAGTGTGTATACTGGTGAATGTCATGTGTAGATAGAGTGTCATCAGGGGAGTATGTATTGGCAGATTTCAACTGTTCTATTCTTTTTCCAAGAGAAGCTAGAGTACTGTTCAACGGATCTTTGTACTCTCTATAGTGAGATAACGATATATTTACTATGTGATTTATCTCGGCTATCTGTGGCGTGTTGATTTTAGAGCTAGATTTAATAGCCAAGTGAAATCTTTATTTTTTATTATGCATTTAGACTCTAGGTCAATAATGCCAGCTCCAGTCACCTGTTTCAATGTAACTTGATCTTGACAAATGATTCTCAATGTATACAATTACAGCAAAAATAAAAGTACCGGGAAGGCTCATTTAATTTCAGCCATAATTCTTGGCATAGTGTTGTTTTACCAATGCAGTCTTTTAAATTATAGTCAATCTTACAGAACTTTTTAATAGATAGGTAGATGATGAATCGGTCTGTTGATGTGACAAAAATAAGATTGCTCATTATGGAAGCATAGTTGTAATTCTAACAATGAAGTGGTAAAGAAGGCGTCCTTCCTTAAATTTATATCTACAAACTCAGCGGCTGGCTGTACGCTGATCATATCACTTTGAACTTACTGAGGGACTGGAAATCTGTTTGTTAAAGGAAAAGTAATTTCAAATATAAAGTACTCTTTCTTAATTTTTGAAGCATACTGTAAATATATTTAGGTCGGACTGAATATTGTCTGCGGGTAAGGTTATATCTTTGGTCCGTTGTCCGGAAATGAACTGCAGCTCGCGTTGTAATTGCTCTGGATTTAACAGGTGTGTTGAATTTACTGTGGTAAATATCCATAATACAGGGTTTTACCCTGTCAGCATTAACGGCTATCAATTTGATCAAAAATAAAGTTGAAAGTATTTTCAACTTTATTTTTGATGACCATAGCGGCATTGTCTAACTGATTCTGATGTCTGTCTGATTTAAGTGCTGATTTATTGTTTTATATTGTAATTGAATTGATTGCTCGGTTCTTTTTAGAACATTATATTCCGCCTCAATGACGGAGGTTTGATTTTTTATCAAGTTAGCAAGATGCCGCTCATTACGTTTCACAAGTTGTATATCGGACTTGTACTGTTCGGCGAATCGTTCATCTAATACTCCGAAAAGACTGTTGGCTACCTAACCGATACTGTTGATAAGCCCGCGAGACGACGCCGTCTAGCGTGCTCCGGCGCGTCAAATGCTGATTTAGCATGAGTCGATTGTAGAGTTCTTTATAGTTATGATTTAATTAAACTGTTATTAGACTACAACGACTTTTATCGCTTAGGGATGAGCAGATTTGATTTAAATATTCAAAAAATTTTGTCGTAGCAGTATTTCCTTCCCAGTATGAACCCATGTCGTAATAAACGATTAGATGCCATTTATCTTGAATAACTTTTATATTATCAATTGGCTCGAAATATAACGAATTATTGCTCGGTAATACGAAAATGTTAAACGCTGTATGAGATGATGTCAACAGTGAAATAAAAAACATTAAAGGCATTGCTATAGAAGCCAGTTTAGGCATAGTTCAATCTGAATAGGCTATTCCAAACATGTCGCATTTTGTTGACTAGTATTTTCATTTTTTGTGTCACCTGACTCAGACCATAAAGGTAGTATGGAGAGTTTAACAATGGGCCTTTTGATAATTCCGCTTTTCGTTTTTAACGTCACTACTCTGACTCATCCATCTTGACCTGGATGGATCTCTACTACTCTACCGATCATCCACATTCCAGGTGGCAATTACATTCTTGAATGGTCACTAAATCGCCAATTTTAATATTCCGCTCAGTGTTTCGACACTTGCTTCTTACTGAGTTAGATATTCTGATCTCCATTTCTTCCATATGTCATTTATTAATTTAGCCGACAGCACCCACCTTGATCGCGCATCTTCTTGGGTTTCGATTATACCGGTTCCACATCTTCCTATCAAAAAATGGCCAGGTGTAAGTATATTTAAGTCTTCAATATCCTCTGATAGGGGGCATAACGGTCTTCAGTTCAATCAAGTCTCCAGTTGAGCTAAAAGAGTGAATTCCTCTAATGTCAACTGACGTTCTCCTATAACTCGTTTAAGGTGGTGTTTTAAACTTCGGACAGCTCTTTCCCACAACGCACCAGCGCTTGGCCAAGAGAGGGCATTAAAATTCCATTCTATATTTAGATTAGTTAATTCAGCAAAAAAAGCTGTCGTCGTATAGATATTTCAGATCCTAATAGCTTTCCTGTAACATTCTATTTGCTATTTGCACAAAGTTTGTTCCGTTACCAAGGTAAAAAATATGAGGAACTGCTCAAGTCGGATACAAGCTCCAAGTGTATAGCCTTGGTCACCATACAAATAAATAACGCTATATATCCTTTAGTCGTCTTGATTCCCCGCCCCTTGTTACTTTTGACGTTTACGAAAGCTGTGTAATCCAGGCCCGTGTGATAAAACGCTGGGGCTGGTTTGCTCCGTGCTTCTGGTAGTTCCCCCATTAGCTGATGTTGCATTCTCGGCTCATGTCTCCTATAGATTACGCAGTTTCTTACTTCTTCCTTACAGCTTTATTTCTACCGATAAGCCAATACTTTTGCCTAGGATTAAACAAAGTAATCCTCGGTCCACCATGTAAGGTGAGCTGATGAGCTTATTGGATTAACAAGGTAGTTAGCCGACTGCTGTGAGGCAATATTGCAGGGTGCTTCATTTCTATATTCATGTTTGCTTTGCTCAAACGGCCTCCAACTCGCAGGATACCTTCGTTATCGAGAAAAGGATTTTAACTTTAATAAACAACTCCTTTTACTCACTATTTTATGCTGTCTTAATGTTATTATTTCTTCTTCAAATTCAGTCCATTGTATGAATTTTAAAATAAGTGATTTTGATCTCCTTAATTCATAAGGTAAGATAACTAGGGAAATTGTGCTTAGCTGTCATTTTTAAATCATGACTTAATTTTAATGTTTTTAGGCATTTAAATATCCACGCTTATATCCTTGTAATTTTATTGAACGAACTAAATTTAATTAATAATTTTATTATAATGCTCTCGTTATCATTATTTTGGCAAGAATTTATTTTATTTGGGGTTGATTTTCCTTTTAGTTCTTGGTCAGAGGTGTAAACCATTAGACTAGTTTCTGATTGTTCATTGAACGATTGAAGGGCTTCCATCGGCTGATTCACCCTGTAGCCATCCTAAAACAACCATTGAATCTGTCCACCCATAGATGCGAATATCCAGCTCGCTTAAATATCGCTATATTAACAATACATGCATAAATAACTGCTGCGTATGCTTTGGTTGACGCGTCACAGTAACCATGTAGTTCAACTACGTTAAAAAGTTTATAACCAATCCACTGCGGTATATGGCAATGGTTTAGGTACTCCATATCTCTGCTAAGTACGACCCTTACTTTTTTAATAGTCTCTGGTACTTCGTCATCCCAATGCATTTTCTTTACCCATAACCTTTGAAAGAGAAGTTTTTATTTTAGTTGTGAGTGGTGATAAAATAGAGGATTATAAACCTTTGATATTTCAGATAGTAGCATTCTCTTGCTGATTTTAACGTTCGAGTCGGATACATTAAAATTAAACGTAAAGTGTCCTCAGGAAAGTTCCACCTTAAGCCCAACGTCTTAGATGTGTTCTCAGATTTATTGTTAAAGATGTTATCTTGAATGCTGCCACTATGCTCTGTATTTTTTAGAAGTTCGGTGTGATTTGCAGACCACTATAACCTGTTGAGATCTTGAATAAGCTGCAGCGCTTTTTCGATAAAGTGTGACCCATGGACCAGGTCATCTACATAAAACGAGTCTTCACATATTTTAGCAGCCTCCGGGAACTTAGACCGCTCATCTGAAGCCAGACGCCTCAGAGTCATCATGCTAGAAAAGGTGCTGTTTTCGTACCGTACGTAACGGTTGTTAGATTAAACGTCTGCAGTGTTTGATCTGGTTCAAATCTCCAGATAATTTGCTGATATTGCTGATCAGATTGATTCATGCCAATATTTTTTTCCGATATCGGATGTTTTAGCATATTGATATTGACGCCATTTCAGTATTAATTTCTCTAAATCCTGTTGTAAATTCGGTCCTTTACTCATCAGGTCATTAATACTAAATCCACTTGACGTTCTTGCTGACGCGTTGAATACCACACGTAGTTTCGTAGTTGCTGACTCCGTTCGTTGCACTGAATGGTGCGGTAACTAACATGATAACGTTCGCTTATTGTTTATATTATTACTCGGTACCATATGTCCTAAGGCTACATACGCACTGAAAATTTTCGTTCTAAGTTCAGGAACTGTGCAATAGGATGAGCCCAGCCTCTCACTTATATCAGGTTTTAGTGGTAATTTCACTTCATAACGCCCGTCTTCTCAACGCTTAGTTGTAGAAGAATAAAAGTCAACACATTCCTGATCTTTTTACGATAATTTAGATTCGAAGCGAATGCGAAGAATTGTTGTATAATATTAATATTGGTCGTTCAAGTATCTGACTTGAACGACCATGTAGAAATTAAGATAGATAATGATACGGCTGGTTAACTAATGAAAATTAGTTTATTATACGGACCACAGGTAAGGAAATATAAAGGAGCGAGGGAGCACACGCGATGAGCGCTAATCGTGTACTAAAGGTGTAATTATGATTTATAAGTAAAGTGATCAAATTGCTGAGGTAACGTTATTGTTCGGTGTAACCGTACATAAAACAATATCCCAATCCAAAAATAAACATTTATAGGGTTTTTTTTAATTGCCGAAGTTTGCCTAATACATTTTTTTTTATATTTTGAACATCTGACACACAACGCCATCATCTGTTCCAAACTAAGCAGAGCTTGCACTAAGAAAGCTGGATCGACTGAGACCTATTTCTTAGCGTTCCATAGATTCACCGTGCGGGTGCCGGGTCCACCGCGTGATAGATGAGGGCAACACATGCGACTTCGACAGCGCCTGGGACTTGCGACCCAAGTATAGGTAGGGAGTACTCCTTGCGACGTGTCAGCGCTCACCTCCACTGTCTGCTGCGCTACCCCCTCTACCTAACCATATTTGATACGAATCTAGCTATGCCGCTTTGGATATTCGTTCAACAAAAGAGCTTACTAAAGCTCTTGGTCATCCAAGGTCTTTAAGCAGGTTATAGAGGGATTTCGCTGGTATAAGGCAATTGTCCTCATTGCCTTAGTAGTTCCAAGTACGGAAGTCATCCACCTTACGCAGTAGTTCTTGGCACTGCTTTGGGTTACGTGTGAGAATTGCGAGGTCGTCTGCGAATGCTAAGATGGATTCCGTATATTTTCCATTGACCTTAAACCGGTAGCCCCATCTTTTCGTGTGTTGCGATATTATCTATTAATATATTTATAACTGTATTAAATACTACTGGTGATAAGCAGCAACCTTGGAACAACTCTACTCTGTATTTGAGGGATTTTGTATGTCCCTCTTTTGCTGAATACTTATATACTTTTTTTGTAAATACATACATATTATTCACCCAAACTCCGAAACAAATACAAGCATTTGGTCGTCGGACCATGGAAGAGGTCCCGGAAATCGAACCCGAGACCTCAGCACAGCAGTCGCATACGATTCCATTGCACCACCGAGGCAGTCAACTTATATCGTTTTTTTTTACAATACCGCACTCATAACCACATTCCACTAATTCTCAAAAAGTTACTGTGAGGTTGCATGAGTTTTAAAATGGCGTTATTTGCATCAGCGACAGACGGACAGGTATTCATTACGTTGAAATTAGTAACTATAATCATACGCATGTAGCATGCATATGAGTGTGTGATATACGTTAATAGAAAAAGGTCATAAGTCCAACTAGTTATAATGCTATAACTTCGTAAAAGTGCCACTGGACTTATGATTGCGTTCCAAGACTTATAACTTGATTTTCTAAACATAGATGCATGTGGTTAAATACGTGTGGTCTAAACAATACAAGGTACAAATGTACCTTTCAGATTCAGTAGTATTTGTTGAGGCAAAGGCAAAATATTAGGAAACGGATAGTCACCAGATTTTTTCCTACCGGGACACCAGAACTCTGATTGGAAAGGAAAGTACCAGGGACGAGGCGCACCAAAAGGTCCTGGAGATATTTGTTCAAGATACAATGTAATCAGCATAAAGAGCACGCAGTTCACAACTAACATAGTCACCACGTGGCCGAACATAAAACGAGATCGCTCCGTAGATGGTGACGACAGGAACCTTCCCCACTGCAGTCCTGATCGGAATAATAAATTACCCGTTAATAATGTAAAATACTTAAATAAAATTACTTCTACTTAAAAAAAACTCGTCATTAGTGATGTTTATGGCCAGTTGATGCTCCCATACCCTGGTGGCCTTTTCAATATACAATATACAAGACGGACATATAGTTACGCAACCCTGGCTGGATGTCTTAATAACAGCAGTCCCGGATCCCTCCTATTACAAGCGTAGAGTGGCACACCGTGTGGTTTTAGTTTGTCCGTTTCCGTCACACCAACCCGCCGCAAACCCCGGTGGGGTGACGGCCTGAGGGGGTTTCTACACGTAAAAAAAAAACCCAAACTCCCTCACCCTATCCGTTCTTCTTTCCTTAATTCGCCTTCTTCTGTAATCTCATCCAAAAACCAATACGTTTTTAAATACAACCCTAGCCCAGCTCAAGCATCCGATTTCCTACAAATAATAGAGAAATGGACGGCTAAATGGAGAAATATACTTAGCGAGTCCAAATCAGTACACGTAACCTTTACCCTTATCAAGGAAGACTGCCCCCCAGTAACTATAAATAGTAATCAACTCCCTCATCAAGATTCAGTACCTGGGAATGCACCTAGACCGTAGACTCACCTAGAGAAGTTATGGCAGCTGGCCAAAGTACTTTTTTTTATTATAAACTTTAATCACACTTGATTTAAGTTTTTTTCAAATTCTCTATTCGCCAAACTGTTCTAACAGTTTGTAGGCGTTCCGCTCAATGTATAATAACCTTAGTACTTAAATGCTAGTTTTTAAATTACTACTACAACGGTGTACTAACTTAAAAAACAAAAGAAATTCAAGACAAACATTACATAAATATGTGTAACATGACTATTTCCTGGGTACCTGCTTCCCTATTTATATGCACGTTTTAATCCATTCCATATCCAAACATTTCTTTTAGTCTTAGTTTAAACTTACATTTTATTTTTTTGTCCTCCCTTAGTATTTGACATTTATTACATAACTTTGGTACTAAATACTTCCTAGTCCTTTCCCCATAATAATTATTTACTTTTAACTGCTCTAATTTTCCCTTATTTATTACTCTGACACTATAATAATATTTTTTCTTAATCCTATATTCTTCACTATGATATGATTCTAATGCTATTAAATATTTAACATTTTCATTGACTGGCATAATGGCGCATTCGGAAAATAACTTATCATAGTCATCTTTGTGCTTTTTCCTAATCTACTATTATTTTTAAAAATGTTACTTGTTTCTTTTTAATTTCCTCTATATACGTTTTAAATGTTAGTCCGTAACAGCTTAGCCCATAACTAATAACTGAATCCGCTAGTGCAACTTTAGCTACTTGCATTTACGATGTTCTTCGATGTTATTAACTGCATTACAACTAACTAGTCTCACAATTACGAGAAATGTAATTTAATACTTTTGAAAATTACCTCCAGAACATTCGTGGGCTAGAATCAGTTGAAAACCGAAAGCCATGGCCGTATTTATAAAAAGACAGACAAGAATTTGACCTAAAATTGATATTTGAGCATCTGTACTTAATAAAAAGGCTGGCATAAAGGTTAGGAACCAGATCACTCCAGTAAATAGCGCTGCCGTACTTCCTACAACATAAATAATTGTAATCAATGACTTCACATTTCTTTCATGTTACTCGTGGGATATTTGTTTAAACAAACTATCATCATCATTTATCAGCATCCAGAGTATTGTGACTTGATTGGGTGCCCTGGCCACTTCAGCATGTGAATGCCTTAGACTATTAGATTATTGCAACTTTTTTAATAACTTTTCAATGACAAGATGAAATTATGCCTTAATGAGAAATTATATGCATATGTATGAATAACTAACTGTACCCAATAATTTCATCATCATTAGATATTTTTATTAGACTTTAAGTTCCACGTTTAAACGTAGAAACTTTTCAGGTGTCCTAATGCTTTATATAATTATGTACCAGCATAGAGTTTAGTATAAAATTTTCATACCTTTCGAAAAGAAGGCACTTAGCATGAAGCAGAAAAATATCATGCAACATAAGTACAGCATTAAAAAAAACAACAGGATTGTCCATGATGTATGAGTGAAAACAGCATAATTGTCATAACCCTCATCATTTGTGAACCAGTGGACCTAAAAGTAAATGAAGAAAATTAACAACAAGATTTTAGTATTAATTACTGGTATTATGTATGGGTCTGGTTCATAATATCGCTAATCACTACATCGATCGTCGCTATATCGAAACCGTTCCATCGACAGGTTACTATAGCGAAAGTACGCCATATCGATGGTACGTTACATCGACAGGACACTGTATCGACGGTACGTTGCACCGATAGGACATCATAATACCATATTGACGGTCGCTGCATCGACAGGGCGCCATATCGATGGTACGTTACGTCGACAGGACACTGTATCGACGGTACGTTGCACCGATAGGACATCATAATACCATATTGACGGTCGCTGCATCGACAGGGCGCCATATCGATGGTACGCTGCATGGACAGTTCATCACATCGATGGTCGCTGCATCGACAGCCCGATTTAAGCTTTACCCAAATACTTAAAAGGGCTTAATGTGATAATCACAACTATGTTTTGTATCCCACAGTGGTACGTGTCAGTATAATAAAAGCGGTTAAAGTATGAAATTGCAGTTGTATAGTACAATAGATTCGACATAAAACCTTCCTGGTATGAGATTTTCGTGTGAAACTTTTTCCACATGATACCTATGAGCTTTTTCTTTTAAAAAATGTGCAGCATTCGATTTTCGACTTTTAATTGTTTTTTTTTTTTTAACTTAGACGTGAAAGATGGATACTTCGAAAATCCGAGTCATTTTTGAATACGAGTTCCGTGTTGTTGTCCGTACGTGACCAGGTTAGTTCCGTGTTGTACACGGAACTAACGTGGCAGAAACGGCTCGCAATTATTGCTTCATTATAAAGCAAGACCTCACACTGCACGAGAAACCGTTGTTACTCTACAGTTAGAGCTGCAGTTAGAAACCATACCTCACCCTTCGTACTCGCCAGACCTTGCTTCAACCGACTACCATTTTTTTGTGATTTGGAAAATTTTCTACGTGATAAAAAAAAACTTTTCTAAGTACGTGATAAAAAGTAGAAAATGCTTTCACACAGTTTGTCGAATCTAGCTCCTAGAGTTCTATCGTAAAGGCATAAATGAACTTCCGTTTAGATGGCAGCAATGTATGGACAGTAATAGTAAATATTTTGACTAAATAAATATTTTACATCTTAGAAAAAAACGAGTTTCAATTTTCAATACAAATGGGCAATTTCATACTTGAACCCCTAATAGAATACATCCAAAACCTACCCAAATAATGTTCGGGTAGTTTTTGGATTTATTTAATAACAATCCTGAAATTTGTAGTAAGATAATCCAAAATATTATATCAATGTGAAAGTGGCTCCTGAAACATCTGAATTGAGGAGCCACTTGAAATACGGAAAGTTTAAATATCATTTAGTAGTAATTGTGTATAGCGTTACAAAAATCTAAATCCAGTACTGTTGATATCCAAGAATATATAATACTTTTAATGTGGCTCCTCAATCTATATTTAAGAGCGTGTATTGCCATGAAAGTAATAGGTCAAATTTTATATTTCACTCCAAAAACATTTAGTAACAAGTGTGTTTGAATTTGTAGCATCAGGAGAAAGTAGTAACACTAAGTGGATTTGGTAAATAAACGCATTTAATTTGGATCCTCAATCCTGACGTTCTACAGAATAAATAATCGACTGTACCTACCTGAGATCACAATAGAAACAAAAACGAGAGACACTAACATTTAGTATCAATGCCTACTAAATAAATATGTAAAGATCAACGTTCTATATATTCGGTATCTGTAAATAAATAACTCTTTGATGAACTTTTTGAACATGTCAAAATGAGAAATCACAAGGACTAGTTTTTAAAATATAATTTTCAACAAATCGACAATTATCGAAATACATAGGAATGTACAAAAAATCTTCAGTTATAATTATTTATTAATCAATTTGGACCTAAGTTATATAATGAATTAATCTTGGTTGGTCGGTGCTTTGACGAATTTTACATTGAGAATCATAGTTGTCGTAACAAAACATCTCATCCTTTGTTGGGTAGTGACATGTATAGTTGTCCCATGCAAGCATAGCTAATTGTAGGGATAAATTCTATAACACCTATTATAATACTACCTACTACCACTTATTTTTGTAGCGTTTGGTATCGATAGGAATGACTAAAAGTAAAAGTAATAACTCACTACGTCTGCAGTAACTATTTATCAGTGTTGAGATACTGACTCTTGGGTCATAGTGTATAAATAAATCTTATTGAGAGTAGGTAGGTAACCACATTAATTTGCAGTTATCTCCACATAATTAGATTAAATAAAATAGATGTGTGTACGAAACGCAAAGATAAAATACCTGTTATATAAGTTATTCATGGACACCCTACAAAAAAAATGATATTAAAGAATAGCTAACAACTTCGTAGGTACAGTACTTTTTTATGACAGGATTATACGTACATTTAAATTTATACAAAATTAAGATGTTTTATGTTCCAAATTTCATAACGAGTATAAGTAGTTTACCGAAGCATCTTAACTGAGGAGCCAGTTAAAATGTGAAATATCTACCAATTCACTAATTTTTAATTACTGGCTCTTTAGACTACAAATTTAATATACTTACTACTAAATGATGAAGAAATTGCACATCAATTAAAAGAAATGCTTCTTTAAAAAATGATTGTCGTATGTAAGGTCTGAGGAGCCACATAAATAATGTATGGTAACTTTTTTGATTTTAACATTACCGAGTTCAGATTTTGTCTACTAACTACTTTCAAATAAATAAAATTATAGTAAATATACATCCATTGTGTCACATTGTCCTAATTCTGACGTGGCTCCTATATCCAAGCATTTAGGTTGAGGACCCTTATGTTCATATAACTTTAAAAGTATACAAATCGGATCGAGCTACAATTTTTTTTTAAATTTACTTTTAAATAATATTAATTTCATTATGATATGAAAAGTGGCTCCTCAATCCAAACGGACATATTATAATAGGTACGGTTTTCGCCAATAGAAAGAGAGAGCTGGAGTGATTCAAGTAGAAGGCTTATATGTATAATACATGCATATTTTAGTAGAGAAAATCCAAGAATTTCTAGGATTTGTAATGTCGTAAAAATACATGTTTTTAAGCGCTTACATCGCCAACGCTTGTCATTATTTTTTATCCAATTTAAGTACATACGTTGTGAATTTAATGTAGATCAAAAATGTCCTTTACAGCATATCATTAAAATGAACAACTTAGAAGATATCAGATTTAAAATGCGGGGGCAGAAAGGCCATTGGACCCTACGTTTATCCCGGGTAGCAGCGACCAATATTGTAGATAAGGTAACCTGTAGTATAGTCTTATCATAATAATTAAATTAATTACTCCCCACTGACACCACATAAGTACCTATCTATATTTCACCCGCGCGAAGACGGGGCGCTAGTATACAGCATATATTACAAAATCTAGTTGTGATTATCATATTAAAAAAAACTAAAAACTTTTTATATACTTATTAAGCCTTTTAGGTATTACGGTATAGCTTACGAGAAATCGAGCTGTCTATGCTATGCTTCCCACCATCGGTATGGTGCACTGTAAATGCAGCGACCGTCGATATGGTGTCCTGTCGGTGCAGTGTACCGTCGATATGGTGCCCTGTTGATGTTACTTACCATCGATATGGCATACTCTCGTTACAGTAACCTGTCAATCGAACGATTTCGATATAGCGACGATCGATGTAGTGATTGGCGGTATTATGATCTAGACCCGTAAGCTCAGTGTGCTGTTCCCACTCCTTGATTTTTGCGTTGAGTTTATTTAAGTATCTAGTAAGATAAATTAAAAGATGCTTTCTAGTTGGAATTTCACACTCACCTTCAAAAGAATAGTCATTAAGATTGCTATTAATACTTGAAAGATAAACTGCTTCCAAAACCAAGCCGTCCAGTGCAACCAAGTAGGCAGACCCATGATTTTCATAGATTCCTAAAATAATGAGAACCATGACACATTTATTACTACTACAGTAATAATAATACATTATATCGCTAAGTGAGTGTGGGCGCAATTATATGTGTGTCCATTTTATAATATGATTACCTGTATGTATATGTGCATTTATATAAAACTAAAGCGTTCAAAACTTAAAGCATAATATATAGTTTGCTTAGTATATTGATAAAGTAAGCCTTTGAACCAGATAAATATTCTAAATTATTGTAGTATAATGTTTAAATATATTGTGCTGCAGTTATAAAGGTGTCTGAGTAAGAGTGCACTTATTCGTTTTGAAAAAAAAACCACGTATTTTATGAAAGAGTTGTGATATTTTTATTGGATTGTAAAGAAGACATGTTCCGGTTAAGTATGGAATAAAATATGCGACAAATGGTCCCCACGGCACTGATGACAGGCCATTACTCTTTTCGTAAATTTTTCCATGACTTTTACATAGAGATGTGGCTGTATCTCACCGATGACGTGTTGGATCTCTGATTCTCTGATTTGAGCTTAGGAATTGTTTCTGGTTTATTTGCATAAATCAAAACAGCCTCTATTAAATCTAAACTCTAAATATTTGACATATATATTAAACTCTAACTAAACAATGGCGTAACTAATTGTATAGATTTATGGAATTTAGCGTAAGTAAATCGATTTTAACCCTGCATGTTCTTATGAGATTAAACTGGTATAATGTTACGCCCCTACAGGATACACGAAAGCATGAATTAAATTTGAAAGATGACGAGATGGCCAATATTTCCAAATACATATTTAATTACCTTCAGTTGCAGTTCTTTCTCCACAACAATTGCTCTGACAATATTGATAGCTGAGTAACTTGTGCTTAACATAACGAACATGGGAAACAAAAGCTTCAACACAGCCATCGAGTTGTCTTCCCAATAAGGGGGATGTGGGAACCTCTGGACTAGCACATCGAATAATGAATGAATGTCTTGCCCTGTCGATCTAGATATTAATTCTGTAGAAATCGAATGCTGTAATGCTATAAACCACTCGTTTACGTAACCTGCGCAATAAAAAAAGGTATTATATTTTTTTCAATATACAGAAAATAGAAATAATCCTGAAACTCTGATTATAAAACAGGAAAACTGTAAAGTTGGACTTTGTTAGGTTGCAAAAGCACACTTTTGCCCCTTTGAAAGTTATTCTTTATTTCTTGGGACAGTACTTTTTCTAGATGAAAGTTACTCTAGCCGCTATTCTGTACTGGTAGCAACGTATGTATATGTCAAATTTCGAACTAATCACATCACATGTCACATCACAGAAATATATAAAATTTCGAAGTATTCAAGGCGTCAAACGTAAGAAACGAAATATGTGAAAAAAAATTTCACTCTAATAGATTTATTTAATAAGTAATAGATTGTCACCTGGATCGTTGCCTCCTTCGTATGAAAACGGAAATCTAGGGCCAGTTAATTCATAATTTGGGAAAACTAGATCAGTTTTCCAATCCCTTCCACCAATTTTATAAAATGAATTTTGCCGAGGTCTTTCAGGAAATCGTAGAGAATATGATAAATTTACTGGTAACTCTGTCGCACCTAAAATGTAGAATAATAATAATAACTGTTTATTAGGTGGCAACTAGGCCCAATGTGCCAGTAGCAATTAACTTAGTAACAACCCATTTTAATTTATTATTATTATCCTGGCCTCACGAGGACTCTTATTGCATGACGCAACCAGGGTGTATCTCGTCTATTGCTTAGCATGGTTAGGATAATTGTACCATTGAAACTAGACCGCATTTTTATAAGCAGCAAGTTGGTTTTTATGCGTATAATTGCGTAGAGATCTTTTGTTCGCTCCGTGGTGAACATACCAGATGCGCTACAAAAACGCGGCAGTCCCAACAGAATCCTAAATCAATTATTATACTGTACCTTTAATGTCTCTAACGATCGCTTGCCATATCTAGTCCACAGATTGCTTGTATACAGTGTCTGACAGCGTGCTTTAAAAAGCGTGATTTTAACCTCTCGACTACAATGAGCAAACCTGTGTCCTAACATGTTGCCTCTGACCGCCAGAGACCTTCGCTCTCGTTCAATATCTGCATCATCTCTAAGGTCGCCAGTAACAATGTGACCAAAGTATTTAAATTAAGAGTCTTTCGACTCGCACTCCGTTTAGTCTAATACGTGGATCATGGGGCACACTCTCACCTCTCACATTGTATGCAAGCCCAAGTTTCTACGCATATTGTTCACAAATATATAACAACTCTCTGATTGAGCCAGCCAGTGGTCCCAGTAAGACCATATCGTCGGTGTAACTTAGGTTGTTTACACAAACATCGTCTATCCAACATCCGACACCTACCACTGAGCTCAACGATCAGCTCGTTCATATACAAATAAATTGTTTAGGGGAGGTCAATCCCCCTGACTTACCCCACATTCTAATCTATAGGCATTAGACAGGCCATCTCCCCATCCGGGCTGGATTAGCCATGTCAAACCCTTTAGGCAATCCAATCCTCGGGGCAACTTTTTTGAAGATTCAGCTCTTTGTAAATAGATGAAGGGTTGTAACTCCTCAGGAACTGACAGCAAAAGTGGAGCCCCTAACCGATGCGGAACCCCTAGACAGTTGCCTACTCTGGTTAATGGTTAATCCGGCCCTGTCCCCATCACATATTGTTAATTTGATTATTATACAATATTAGAATAACATCGTGAGTTTGATGGGTATGCCCACTTCCCCCATCTTCCTCCAAAGGACATAATAGGATACAAGGTCGAATGCCCTGGAAATACCAAATAAGCACGCATACACGGAGGTGCTCCTGTCTACACAGTATTTTGCAGTCTGTTTGAGAGCTAAAATTGGGCTCTCAGTGGATAGATTGGGCTTAAACCCAAACTGAGCATCATTGAGTTTTATAAACTTACTTAATTCTTTATCAGGCAGACTGTCTAACACCTTCGCCATCACTGTAGCTAGAGAATTAGGTCTATAGCTGGATGGATCTGAAATATCACCTGTTCTGACCTTTATAATCATAGCCCTCATCATTTCTAGTAGTAAATAAGAATGACTAATACAGAGTGTGACGAACATGGCCAACAGTCCGGGCAAAGGCGGCGTGCATGCTTTCGGTGTTCGATCTAAGGCTGTCATGACCGGGTGACTTGCCAATTGCTTGGCTGAAAAGTATGTTCAAGACTCATGCTGAATGCCCTAGCATCAATCCAGTCTTTAGATGGTGCCAGCGAAGATGACATCCGAAATTTATTTCAAAGCAGGTTCGCGATGTCCTTAGGTGTCGGGTACTCACCCACGCTCACAGGCACCCTCGGTTTGATATTAGGTCTTTTGGTTGCTTTCCAAAACTTACTGAAATTTTTAGATGATCTCTGTGACGCAAGAGTATCCATATTTAACTGCTCGTATTGCTTTTAGCACCACTTAAGTTAACTTTTAAATACTCTATGACTCGCGCGCATTTCTTCCCACTGCATGAAACTTTATCCGAGTACATTTCTGTTCCATCCAACCACAGGAGCTTGCCTTAGAGGGTGCTCAAAAGTATCTATGGCAGCGTTTGATAATGCAGACACAATCTCCCTTCTGATGTGCCGGAATGTTACACATTCTGTCAGCGCACTATGTGTACATTTCGGCAAAGTGTATTTCCATAACATAGCTGTGACACAAATCATGGTATTTGCTTCTCTGCCTGTTACTACGCGCACCCCAAGCCACTCTATTTAAATTAGAGCCCTTAGTATGATTCTTTGGTATCAATACTTACACTTGATAATCATAGACAAGTGATCGGAACAGGAAACATCATAATCTATGTTCACGCTAATGATAGATTGCCATGCCGCTTTCGGTGAAGCCATCGTCTTCCATTAATATCACTTACATAATAATATGTATGACTATGACTAATTTGCGAGGATACAAAAGCATCACCATGCCTTGGATAATGCACCATACTAAACGAGTGTATATTTTTAAGTAAGAAAAACGAATATTTTATTATATTGGGCGTTCGGGATTCAAATGATATAAAAGATACAAAGGTATACTTGTGGCAAACAATAGCCTAGTTATTAATAAATAAATCAGATTGCCATTTTGTCAATTATATTCCACGAAATAGCCTAATAGCAGTGATAGCGTTCCAACTCCTGAATGTAACATAACATCTCAATACTGTAACTAAGATTTTAACATATCTATTGACTTGCATTTAGAACATGTCAAGTGTTACAAGCCTAATATCACAAGGAAACCGATAGACAAAAACTAATCATGAAATTAATTTCAATTTAGGTGTTTAAATATAAAAAGAAATACATTGACACAAGCAAAAAAAATCTTAGGACCTAAAACTTACCACTAAGTCGATCATCAAATTCAACGGCAGCAAGAACAGTTCGAGTAGTTTTTTCTTTCGCATAGAGCCCATTTAATTCGTTACTATTAGCAAAAGCTATTACTGGAGAATCATTTATTAAAGGCGCCTCAATCATCGGCAAATACCTTCTAGATATTTGGTTACGAATAAAGGTCGGTTTTCTTCTACGTAGATCTAAATTTTGAGAAAGCAAATTTTTATTTTCAGCAACCAACGTAGCCATAGCTGACATTAGTACTTCTTCTAATATTGGACTAGTAGGTGAATATGCGATTTTTAACGTCCCAGGATCTAAGCCCGCTCTGTAAAAAATATTTTGAATGGCATTTATGTTAAGTAGTGATTGTTAGTATTGGTAGATATATATATATGGTTGAGGTAGATTAGTAGATATGTATAGTTGACGTAATTTATCAACTTATCGTCGAATATAGCTTATTTCGGCAGTACTACACCACTACACCTCTGTACGGGCACGTACCTACTTACACACATTAATATGTATGTACGTATCTACCATCCAGAGACCAATTCAAAAATGGAAATGATATGATAGTATAATATATATAGTTATTATGATGATAAAAGTGTTTCTAATAAAAGTGAAATAGGAATTCTAGAAGCCAATTGCCGAACCAATTGCCGTGTCCAATTGTGAACTAAACGACCCTAGGACACAAATTGCTTGAATGTATCCTACACAACAAAAAAACGCAAAAATTTGGGCGGTTTGCAAAGTTCAATGACATATACAAAAAAGTTTTATGTGATGATGATATATTTACAAGAAAGATGGTGATATCTTTAGATCTATTTTTCATTGTAAGCAATCGGCAGTTTGCAGTTCACAATCATTTACTTACCTATACATATTTTACTGATAAATAATAACAATTTGATCTGCCAAGGTAAGTAAAAAATACATGTAATACTCCAACTTACAGCACTTGCATACTATAGTACAATGAGTAAGCACGTAGAGGTGGATAAGAATTCATGGGCCTATGCGTAGGCGCTACTTGCCACCGTATTAACAATACAAGAGTCATTGTAAGTAGCGGTAGCAATATTTCTGCAGCTGTCTGTGAGGAACGTCTCCATTGCTGCAGGAAGTTTTTCCACATCAACAACCTAAATTTAAGCCATGCGTCCGCCAGAAAATTAGTCCGCACGATCTTAAAGAAGAAAATGTCGACATGAATAATTTTTTTTTTGACTAAAAGTTAAGTATAAAATAAATTGTATTAAGCTTTCCGATATATTCCTACATATTTCAATAGCAAGTATTCTAATGACTTAATTTTTTAGTGTTTTAACCACATTTCGCAGTTTTTTCTGTAGGTGACGAGGTATGATATTTAACCAGTGATAATTTATACTAATATTATAAAGAGGACTGATTTGATTTTTTGTATGTTTGTTTGATTTGTAATGGATAGCCTCAAAAACTACTCAACCGACAATTAAAATTTCTTGCATCTATATAGTAAGCTGCATTATCAGCGAGTAAAACATCTATAATTAATTACCTATAACGATAGTTTAAAGACAGGTATAAAAAATTGACAAAAGTATTTGCTTTCTTTGCGTGATCTGCAAAAACTATTGAAAATACATGATAAAATTTGATATATTTTGAACATAATCATCAATGCGCACAAAAAAGTCCACGAACATCTAAATATTTGGTATAGTTTAGCTATAACAACCCTTTTTTGTAGAAATAAGTCAACTATTTGGATCATTCTGCATTCTTAAAAAGACAATTCCAACTTACAGCAGTGATTCTACAACAATAAGTTATTCTATCAGTATCATGATATTAATCCATATCGTCATCATCAACAGCCTCTAACAGTCCACTGCTCATAGACATAGACATAGACTCATGGACATAGGCCTCCCCTTACAATGGTGGTTTATGAAATAAACCAATTATTGTTGAATAATATTAATTATCAATTATTATTATATATGTATGTAGGTACAAATTACTTTTATAATTGTTCAAATTCGTTGGTTGGTTATTGGTTCAATTCGTTTTGAAGTTATGATGTGAAAAAAGTTGCAAATCGCTATGGAAAAATACATATACGCGTATCTTTAGACCCGGGGTTCTCTGACGACGGACGCGTGTCAAATTGACACTGTCAACCGCCGGCGTTCGTACGCACGAATGCTATGTACGGAAATGCTCAGCACTAGGTTCTCAGAAACGTCGCCCGCGGCGGAAAGTGCGAGCGGACAAGTGCACACAGCACGCCATACGCGTCGGTTGGTACCATATTTGGAGCATAGCGATGGGATCACGCCGCGGCGTCTTGAGATTAACTTAAAAAACACGATCGTTCAAGCAGTGCCATTCACAATAACGTCTACCAGACGCAAAGAGGCCGGTTCCAGAGAACCCACTCGCACGGATACACGTCGGTGGTCGGTCGATATCGTACGATGTCAAAAATAATATGATTTCGTGCGCTTACATTGCAAATGCTTACTAAACCTTACGAGGCTAAACCTTAAAATGATGAACTAGGGCATTGCATATTTTAAACAGATCTACAAAAAACCGGGCACGTTCCAGCCTGCAGATATTAAAATTTCAAAATAACAAAAAAACTCATTTTATAGATCTCAATTAGCCCTTTCGACCTACCTTAATTAATTTATAAGCCCGTTTTTCGTTTTCTCAGGAAAAAGAGAAATATAATTTTCAATTTTCCTCTACTTAAAATAGCCATATCTCTTTGAAAAATGATTATTTTTTACTCTACCAAGCGTGAAAAAATTGCCCTTGCGCTAATTTAATTTGCTCGCGTGCTAATTCTTAAAAATATTCAATAATTATTATTGTAAACAATAAAAAACCGTCGTGGCATTTCCAAGCCAGTTATTTGCGCATTGCGCATGCGCGACAGAATAAAGGTGATACTCACATCATCAACTGCAGGTCAACTGATGCTACACGCACGGAAGGACTTTAAAAGTTTCGGGAAGTCTTTCAGTACTATTGGATTCATTATTATGTGCCTTTGGTAGTTTGATGTGTCTTTACTCTTATTTCTAGGGAGTAGTCAGTAGTTTAAGTGTACAAATCATGTACACTTAGTGCAGATTTTGCATTGCAAAGCTGAGCTCTACGAAAACGTTTTTTCGACGACTTTCTATTAAGCGTTTCAAGACTTTACAAAGTAAACTTCCAAGCCAAGAGGAAGCAGCTAACTATTTCAATAGGTGTTATTGATTAGTCACGGAATCATGGAGATTTCATCTTTCTGCTGATTTGCTCCAAAATTATATAGTACGTGTTGATTGGGCCTGTTTAAGCATACATACATTTAAAAAAAAAAAAAGAAATGTAAATATTTATTAATAAAATAGCTATGTTTTTTGGTGTATTTCTTTGTTTCAATTCTTGAAAATTTTAATTATAAATTTACACACACATCAAACTACCAAAGGCACATAATAATGAATCCAATAGTACTGAAAAACTTCCCGAAACAGTAATATAATAACTTTTAAAGTCCTTCCGTGCGTGTAGCATCAGCTGATCTGCAGTTGATGATGTGAGTATCACCTTTATTCTGTCGCGCATGCGCAATGCGCAAATAATTGGCTTGGAAATGCCACGACGGTTTTTTTATTGTTTACAATAATAATTATTGAATATTTTTAAGAATTAGCACGCGGGCAAATTAAATTAGCGCAAGGGTAATTTTTTCACGCTTGATAGAGTAAAAAATAATCATTTTTCAAAGAGATATGGCTATTTTAAGTAGAGGAAAATTGAAAATTATATTTCTATTTTTCCTAGGAAAACGAAAAACGGGCTTATAAATTAATTAACGTAGGTCGAAAGGGCTAATTGAGATCTATAAAATAAGTTTTTTTTTTATTTTGAAATTTTAATATTTGCAGGCTGGAACGTGCCCGGTCTACAAAAACGTCCCGGGTGCTAGCGGTCGACGTGTTGCGGAGCGAGCGTCCTTTAGGGAGTAGAATGGGAACATCGAGGTTCCCGTATACGAGGAGTTCATCTACAAGCCTTAGATGGCTCAAGGTCCGTCGCGGTACCAGGGTTTTACTTTCTAGGGTACATTTAGTTCTGTACGAGCAAACCCGCACATTTGTAGTAGATAATGAAATTAGCTTGCGTTCACTCATTTGTATTGCACTCGTATTACATAGGCACTTACTTTACATACATAATTTTTGTACATAATTTAGTAGCAATAAAATCATCATTCGGTAAAGTTGTCTACTCATTTATCAAACCAGCAATCTATCAGTAATGTTAGGGACGCTACCCCTACAAGTTCCCTGGTTACTGATACGCGAGGCGGCGTGTAATTTTTAGTAGGTTCGAGTCTAACTTAATAACCCTACCAAAAAAAATTATTAATCGTCACTGACACCACATTTATATCTACATTGGCCCCGTCCGAAACCGGGGCGAGGCGCTAGTTCGTTATATAAATAAAACAGTCAATAAATACTAACCTTGGGAGGAGGCGCTGTTGGTGGCTGAAGGATTTGCGGCTGAGGCACTGTTGGTAGCTGAGGGGTTGGCGACCGAGGCGCTGTTGGTGGGCTCCCTCGACAGAGCGCAGGTTTTGGACATGAATGTATTTTCTGATAAGGAGCTGTTGATGAATTCACGGGGCCTAGGCGGGGAACTGCTGCGCTCTTAGGGCCGGGGGCTACAAGTGAAGCCAGAGGAGGGGGGACTCTTGGTGATTGAACAGGAACTGGAATCTTTGGTGTACTCATGGGACTGGGTTTGATTAACGAGGTGTATTTTTGATAGGTGGGACTTTGTGAATCATTGGTAGAAGTAGTGGGCGGTAAATCTACTGAACAAGGAGAAATTGATGTTCCTTGTGGATAAGGAGTGATAGGTGAGCCTTGAAGACCCTTCTTATATGGAATGGTTGGTGCACTAGTAGGAGTGTTCTGACAAGAAGTGGAATGCGAGTCCGTATGATTGGGGGAAATGAGTAATTCTAAGGATTTCTTAGAACGAAAGGTAATTGACGAGTTTGTGGGACAATGCTCACAAACGTTAAAGGGAGTGGTTGGTGAATACACGAGTCCTTTATCAGAGGGGGTATTTTCTGAATTCGAACACTGCTCCACATGGGTTGTTTGTGACTCTACAGAACATTGTTCAGAGGGAATATTTAGCGAGCCAACACATGAGCCCAAAAACAGACGTCTAGTCCATAGAAACTTGTCCATCTTCTTTAAGAACGTATTTTTAGTAATACATCCGATTGACAATGCACCAGATCTTAAGAGCTTGACGAATCCCTGTGATCCTTTTTACAGTCCAGCTGCTGTCACACAAAAAATATTTTTATTTGATGTGATTAATTTTCCTAATTATTTTCTTACTAACTTTTGCCTGCGGTTAGACTCATACTAGTTACATTTCTATTCCTTGGGAACAATTTTTTTTGTCTGGATGAAGCATACTCACTGTCTGACATTGCAAATGTAAAATTTCATGATATTTACTAGTATAAACATTAGCATAAAATAGTTACAATTCTTTCCTTAGGCCCCGGTTTCTCTAACCAGACGCTAGCGCCCGCGTCCAGAGAACCCACTTACACTCACACCGTTGACATGCATCGGTTGGTCGTGTGCGACCGACGGTCAGAGAACTCCCTGGGGTTCTTCGTCTACTATTTTTTTATGAAAGGTCCTATAAGGCCCGGCTTAATAAATAAACGTGGTAGTATAAAAAATAAGCAAATATTCATTCGCCATTCTAATATCAGTTAAGATTCTAAGACAGTCGCTAATAAATTGATGATCTATGAAAACAATGCATTTGACTATTTTGCCGCGTTCGGGCTCTTTTGATCTTCTACCAAAACATTCTCTCAATTAAATGAAGCAGTTTAGTGGACAGCTAATAAGCGTTCCTATTTAACAAAATGGAATAATCTCAAAATGCGTTCAAAAGTTGTCTACTAATAACAAGGCGTGCTAAAGCTCGAAGGAAGTTATGATCATTTTTCAGTAAACAAACAGGAAAAATTATTTTTATTATACCTGTACATATCAGCGGTATCAGTGGAGTATCGGTCAAGAAAAGTTTGGACACAGTGTTCTTCAAATACATAAATAAGTAATAAATATTTTTACCGGCTCATATTGACATTTGTAACTATCAAAGCAATGACCAAAAATAATCTAGAAATACTTAGCTAGAATGCAACGGACTACTTTTGTATTCCTTTACTAAAACAGGCTGTACTATAAATATAACTAGCTGACCCTGCAAACGTTGTTTTGCTATTTACATTATTTAATTATTTTTATTTTTTTGAATTTCTTAAAATCCGTTCTTAGCTGACCTCTACTCGGTGAAAAGAATATTCCTACCAAATTTCAAGTCTTTAGCTCTAATGGTTCCAGAGATATGGTGATATATATATATATATATATATAGATACTACAAAAAACCTACCTAAATGTGAAATAACATTGATCGAGGATTGTTAAGTTTGGCAAGTCATGAAACAAGGCCTCAAAAATTGTAAAGCCGTTAATTTGTTGTTATATCTTGACTTATTTGACTTAATAACCTAAGTCCCCGAGATGGGGCAGAGGCGTCAACAGTACTCCTCCATCGCGTTCGGTCCTGACCTTCGCTCTTGACCTCACTCCAGCACAGGTTATGTTATTCGAAGGTGTGTAATAATTGTTATATCATCGCGTATTGCCCGTAGGTACGTAAATAAATAAAATAAAAAGCCTTTTATTTCTAACAGATTACAAAAATAATAAGTTAAATTCTATGTATTAAAAAATTTTGTTAGTAATTAAGCGTGGTTCCTAAATTTAGTTCTTAGTTTTGATTTTACATATTTTTTTAAATTAAACCTATTTTATTATTTAGTCTGCAAGAACCCCTCTGTAGGTGAAGGCCTCCTCCAACTATAGCCTCTCTAGATTGGGCTACTTGAATCCAGTTGGAGCCGCCTGTTTTTTTGAGCTCATTTTTACAACTAACTACAGGTCTGCCTCTCCTTCTTTTGCCTTGTGGACCTGCCCAAGTGGTCGCCCTTTTCGGCCATCTCTGGTCTTAGGTGCGCCACATGTCCGGCCCACTTCCATTTTAATGATTTGGCGTGTACCTATCCATCCCTTGCCTTGGCGTTGTGTCTAATTTGTGTCTTATCTTCTATATCTTTTTAATATTCAGCATACTAAACTCTATTCCTCGTTGGGTTGAAATTATTTTGTCTTTTGTGTTTTTGTTGAACTTCCACGTTTGTCAAGCATACGTTCGTAACGGTATAAGGCACGAGTTTAGTGCCTTAGTTTTAATTTTGATCGGCATGCAGCTTTTGAATATGTCCTTCAGTGCCCCGTATTTGTTCCACGTTAACTGTGCCCTGCGCTCTACTTCCTGATCGTTACTATTTTGTTCCAAACTAATTCATTTATTTTTTCCTTAAAATTTTCGTATATATCGTCCAGTATTTTTAATTTTTCTTCTAAAATGCAGTTTATATTTTGGTTTACTTGCTTGGTAACTCTTTCTCCGTTTTTTAAGATCGTATTTTTTTGTTCATCGAGTTCCTTTTGGATATTTTTAGTGCATTAATAACTTCTTTCATATATGTATATTTTGTTAATACTAGATTGATGTCTCGATCTTGTACTACCAAGAGAGGGCGCTACTAATATGGTATTAGTAGCGCCCTCACTTGGTAGCCCTCTGAAGTTCTTGCAAAGCTGACGGTCGCTCGATTATAATTCGCCTATGCACGTCATAAATCAACGAATTGGAAACACTACAGAAATAGGAACAAATTTCAAAATACCGATTTTCATAATTCCAAATGGTTCGAAACTCCGAATAAGTATAACAACGCCGATTTATCATTCATTATATTTTTATAATTCAAGAAAATCAATATTCCTAACTTTTATAATTACTATGCTCAAAATACCGAGTTTTAATAAATCGAATAACAAAATGTCCTACTAAATTATAATTCGTTACATCAAAAATTCGCCAGTCACCAACATTAAAGCGGATCTGGCGCTCGGTGGCTGCCCGATTCCTCAAAAAACCATCTCGGTCCTCGTACATGACCGTACGCTCCTCCTACTAGTCTGCCACTAGCCGAATCAGGTACCATGGCACCCCATGATAGAAGAGTTCTTCCCTGATGCAGCTTAATGGCAGACTGTGAATGCGATGGCGATGTCCAACGACACCGTCAACAGCATGCCGCCACAGCTCCCCGACTCGTCGGTCCCGGCCCTCATGCGCAACACAGCACCGACAGTTGAACGCCTGGCTCAGAAGCCGAAACGCCTTGTCCGGCAATGCGATGGCCCCGGCTTCCTTAACAGGACCAGGTTCCCGCTATTCCGGCACTCAGGGAAATGTTCTTACGCCAAACACCTCCCTGCGGCGGTCTGACATGTGGTAGAGAGCTCGGGCCAACACTCGAGCAGGTATCCCGTCTAGCCCGGGGCCTATAGTAGGCCAAAACCTCCTTTCTAAGGAGAAGTCTATGCTCAGCAGTGGACTGTTGAAGGCTGTTGATTGTGATGATGATAGGTATGTAATTTCAAAATACGGGGTATTTATTGAAATCGTCATCCAACATACATAAAATAAATTTTAAGAAATACTGTAAAGGTTTTTTTTTTAAAGACATCGCCCGCACTAGGAACATTTCCTGTGTCGACGGAGACTTTACAAACATTTTTTTCCCTTTAAATTTTTTATGTTTTCAAATGTTAAATATATACATATAAGTCGATACACATATTATGTGGCTAAAACGGCTTTATGGATTTTGGCGTTTGAGGTGTAGATAGATTGTTACGAGTATATTTATCTTATTACTTAATTTTGAGAGTCAAACAGGGTATCTGAAAATTAAAAAGAAAAATAACCGTTAGTACCTAAATAAAGGGTTTCTTAAATGTCTTACAAAAATGTAAATAACTTTTTAAGTATAACTTGCAATGATCTTGTTCAACTTTTTGGACCAAAAAAAAGAGAAATACATAAACGTAGTTTTAATCGCTTTATTATATAAAATTGTATACTACTATATGTGTATACAATATCTTTAATATCTATTTGTATTGGTATAACTACACAGTATGGCATTTATTGTATTGATACACACAGAAATTCCATATACAATTCCTTGTGATGCCAGATTAAGACCACGAAGTGTAACCACCCCTATTCATCCCATGGGTGTCTTAGGAGCCGATTAAGGGAGCAAACTACGCACGAAAGCACTACAAAGAGAAGGAAAACTTGAAACAAACTCTATATCTATCAACGTTTCTGGCAAGAATGGTATAGTAGGCCAAAACCTCCTTTCTAAAGGATAGCTATGTCCAGCAGCGTATGACTAAAGGCTGTTGATGACACACATAGACATACAAAATAAATTGACTGAGAAAAACGTGACTCATAAAAGAACCTAACTTTTCGCTGGTACTAATCCGAAAACGGAACGTTTTTTAGTTTCTCACAATGTGGTGTTGTCAGTATAAATATCAAATTACATTCTTAAGTCCGTTAAGCCTATCAGTCATCACTTTTTATTCAATATTTTCTAATACATCAGTGTATATTAATCTGTTACTTATCAAATCAAACTTCCTTATGAAAACTATAGGTTTAGTAATTGATTTTAATTATCAGCCGTTATCTAGATACATAGTTGATACCGAAATGTAAACTAAATTCATTTGAATTTCCTTATTCATCCCTATCAATCATAGACAAAGTAACTTGAGAAAAAAAAAAACAAAATGGCGTAAACGTCAGTCACATATCAATGTTTTCTATTGGATTATTGTTAAAAATAAGTTATAAATGTAAAGTGATAGCTATTCATAATTTAATATGTCTACTAATAACCTATCCACTGTGTTGAAATCTTGTTCAGAGAGTGAATTGATTAATGAAATGGCCGAAAACAGTATGGCACAGAAGCAGGTGGAGGGATCCCGATTAAAACGTACATTTACGTTGCCTCGTAATCCCTTCGGAAGCACAAAACCTGGATCTAGTAAAAACAAAACTAACGAAAATGACATTAAACCAACTAGCACAAGTTCCGTCATAGGTGAAACTACAAAGGATGATAATGTAGAAAGGAAGTTATTTAGAAGGCCATCATGGAAAAGATTCTTGAATAAGATAGCGCAACACATGAATACTGTTCATGTATCAGGTGTAAGTATTAAATATTTAGAAAAGTATTAGTTAACTCCAAAAGCATATACAATGTATCTTTATCACTAATATATTAGCCTTGATAACTTTTATTTACCTAATAAATTCTTATAAGTCTGATTAGTAATTAGATATATTCCAATTATATAATAATATACTAAATGTAAGCAGGTCAGAAAAGCTTGTTCTGTGCACATTGTTTTCTTCCATGGTATAGTTTAAAATGATAATGATGGTTGAACTTTTGTATGTACTCTGTAAGTCCTAGTAAAAATCTTACAGGGTGCAGTGGCCTACTCAGGTTAGAAAATAGACTAATTCAGTTAGTTTTATTGTGACAACATTAGTTTGTTGTGCTTTTTCAATACTATGTACTATAAACTTTACCTAAATCCCAGTTTAATTTGAAATAAGAAGATGACTTGCTTCATAGCTAAGAACTCATTTAAGCCTGATGTTTATCCACTACATGAGGTGTTGTTTCAGCCTTACCTGCTACTTTGCACGACAGTAAATTAAAATTTAAATATTAGTTAATTGAAAATTATGGTTACTTTATAAATTAAAATAACTGTTAATAATATAAATTATTTCTTAAGTAACTATAAATTTATTACGAAGATTGCTTGGTGGTAGAATTTGAACTGTTTGGAATATCCCGAAACTTACTGTCTTTTTATAGACTTTTGTACCACAACAGATCAAAATATGTTCTGGACCCCTATGGCATTACTTAACCATTTTTACATTATTTATAACTAGATAGCACATATTGCTTAGAAATGTTAGCTTTGTGCACTTCTTCTACATTTAAATAAGAAATATTCCAAAGTTGATATAGGTGATATAAGACTATATGCCGCTGCCACCCGGGATAGATGTACAGCACGACGTGGCAATGGACACGATGCCCCTACATTTAAATTATATAATCAAAGGCAATTTTGAGCTACATTAAATGCACAATCTAATGTATTTATTTGTAAAAGGAACAATACTGTATAGTTCAAAACAGCTTCATAAACTACCCATTATTTTTTGTTATTTATAAAAGATAAAAATGGTCACTGTAGATTGTCCTTAGGAGATAGACATATACCATCATGGACTTTTTTGTAGATCTTTTTAAGATAAACAATTCTGTCCTACATTATTTTAATCTACCTTGTAAGGTTTAGTCAGTGTTTGCAATGTAAGCATACAAAAATGTGCTTTTTACGACAAATTTTTGTAATTTTACAATTTTTTTACTATAATATGCATGTATTATACATATAAAACTACCTCTTCAATCACTCTCTCTATTTGTGAAAATTACATTAAAATCCGTTGCTTAGTGTCTACGTGTACAAGAAAAAAAGTGACTTTATCCTAACTATGTAAAGATATCAAAATTCATATAATTATAATTATGTTTATGAGTATGTTTTTTGAGTTTGTCACATTATGGATACATAGCATGACTCAAATTTTATTTGTATGGTTAAAATGATAATAATTTTGCTGTATAACATGTAATATTATTTATGTCACTTTATTTTTATGAACATTTTCATAATATAAATTTTTAGATAAACACAGATTAGTTATAAAAATTAGTTTTAAATCTGATATTCAGTAAAAATAAATAAACTATTATTTTTGTTCCTATAATATGTAATAAACATAATGAATATTTGTATGTATACCTTATTCATATACACATCAACATCTTACAAAAAAATCTCCCCCAAAAGCACAAGTTTACTCTCACTGGTCATCCCCTAGGTGTCCAGTGATGTTACTATTTATTTTAAAGTAATAAACATGCACAAATTTGTCTGCCTCTCTCTACCCTATTTTTGTAAAAAAATCATTTAAGCTCAGCTCCTATTGAATGATGTATCATGATGTTATATAGCCTTCCTCAATAAATGGTCCATACACACTAAAATATTTTTTTAGTTTGAACTGAAGTATTTCATGAGATTAGCTCGTACAAACAAACTCGTAAGCTTGTATAGTTATTGGATTCAGTTACTGATTTTGTCAAAAAAATTGTTTAGAAATTTTATGAAGACAAATGACCTTATAAAATTTCCTGGCATTTTTAAACACACAGTTCATAATTGTACTGCTTTTTTTTTCAAGTTAAACTATTTCTTTCTAGGTAAAGTCAGCACCAGCATTAATGAATGGTGAACGAGTGCCATGTAGTGGAGATCCCCCATGGCCTCCTGGTTCTACTCCGGCAGCTACTGGCATCAAAAACCATGGCAACACCTGCTACATGAATGCAGTACTGCAGTGCCTTTCACATACTGACGTTATTGCTGAATATTTTGTACTGGAGCACTATAAAGTTAGTATGTTATCATTAATATGCCTTTATTCACTGATAGTAGTTTGATTAGTGTGTTGTTGGTGTATAGATTATATACCATGAACTCTAAGTTAGTGTTTGTATAAAAAGCATGTACTAAGACCATGTTGTAGAAGTTTTTTTTTAAACTATAAATAAACCTGGTCTAATCTTCAAATTATCATTTCGCAATGTGTATCTACTCATTGACGAATGGCTGATGCAATGTCGATTCCCCTTACTAATTACCTTTTGTATTGAGAAACTTTAAAATTAACCCAATTTTTCCTTCATACAAGAACACAGACTTTCCTTTTGCAACATAAATAAATAAATAAGGTTAAAAAAGAAAATTGTTATTAATTAGGTGTGATAAGGAAATTTGTATCAGGTTTCTCATCTTCAACAGTAAAATAATCATATTACTAAGCACTACTATGCTCTTTTTATGTTAAAAATTTGCTGTACTGAAGTAGGTAATTGTTTAATGTCTTGTTTACTTTTTGATGTTTTAAAATGTATTCTTTTAAGACAATAAAATTAATAGATTGTCTTTAACAATAGTATGGTACTCCACCATGTCTAATAATTCTGAGTATGAAGATATTTTAACTACCTGCCACAGGGAACTTAGGTGAAGTTGTAGAATCACATCTGTCCAGGTTACCCTGTTTAGCAGCATATGATGCACTCACCTAAATGTACATATACAAAATTTTGGAGAAACAAAAAATGCAAGGGATGGGGAAATGGTCAAAATTTCATTTTATTATATTAACTTCTTTAAGATATTATAAATGTCACTTGTTGCTGTGTTTTATTAGTATTCAATAAATAAATATATTTAAAATTCATGAGAGATCTGTGTCATATGTTTATGTTTTTGTTAACATTGTAAATACATTTGTATTCTTTCAGGTAGATTTACAAAAGAGAAATAAAATAAATTCAAAAAAGTATGGCACTCGTGGAGAAGTAACAGAACAATTGGCAGCCTTATTAAAAGCTCTCTGGGCATGTCACTATACGGCTGATATGAGTACTGCATTTAAGGTATATACATTAAAATTTTAAAATATATATTTTGATGTCTATTATTTTGGCAATGAAACTTTGTTTTAACATGTTGATTGTGTTGTCGAACTCACTGTTGTTTACATTTTATTTTTCTCAGTGGCAATTGTTTTCTTATTAATTAATATAATTATGTTCTAGGCAATATAGATTTTGACCAACATGTATATGAATATGACCAACATGTATACAGAATTTTCTTTTCATGTCTGTTATTTTGATTCCCGTCTATTAACAATCTATATTTTTCATAGTTCAAAAGAGTTGTTATTGATGTTAGTTGTATTAAAGTATGTGTTATCATTATGTAATATGTATGATTGCCGAATATTATCTCTGTCTGAGAATTTCTTTTTTGTCATGGAAGACCAGGGTATTTGTTGGTATGGTATGGTACATATTATTAATTATACTAGCTCTTGACCGCGGCTACGCGCGTGTATGTCGGTTGTCGCGGTAAAAGTAGCCTATGTTACTCACTGATAATGTAGCTTTAAATGAGTTTAGTGGTTTAGGCGCAAAAGCGTAACAAACAAACTTACTTTCACATTGATAGTATAAGTATGAAAGTATAATAATTAATTGTTGTTTTGACAAATGGCTATTGTAATAAATGTATTGGTTTGTCTTTAAACACTTTAACATGCAGAAATAACATCCTAAATGAATTAAATATATGAATTACTCTAATCTATATTTATAGGGTGCAGTTGAAAGGCATGGCACGCAATATAGAGGGAACAGTCAACATGACGCTCAAGAGTTTCTATTCTGGCTACTAGATAAAGTTCATGAAGACCTGAATACGGCAACTAAGAAAAAATATAAAACTATTAAGGTAAGTTGCAGTAGCCAAATTAGTACATGGTTATTCTAACACTAAACAAAATTTAAGCACTACATTTTATGTACATAAATTGTAGACACTATTTATTTATCTATTGATTTTTGACAACATGATGAATTGAATGGATATTCTATTTATCATAAGCTTGTATACATGCTTTTTTGGTTGTTGGATGGTTTTCATGATGGTTGATGTTAATATTTTAGAATACCGGTGGTAAGCCTGATGAAGTTGTTGCTGCTGAAACATTAGCTAATCATGCAAGAAGAAATAGCTCATTTGTGCAGGCTGTATTTCAAGCCCAGTACAGGTACTTCAAGTCATTTGATTTTAGCCTTTAAATTCAGTAATGTGTATTTTTTGCTTATTGGGTAAAGGATATTTACATATGTTGGTTATGCCAAATAAATTGAAATGCTTCTGTCGTTTCTAGGCTCAAACATACATTGTAAACCTTTCAAATTATTTATTTGTTAAGTCCTTCAATAGACGTCACAGGTTTTGGAATGTGAATTTCGAATTTTTTACATTGCTTCGAATTACGTGGTCTAATAAACACGACAAGTATGTGTATATGAATACATAGATCTCACTACTAAATCCATTTAAATACATTTATAGACGAAACGTAAAGAAAAAACTGGAGGGATATAATAAGTTAAGTGTGTCTGTCTGTGTGTGGTATCATGGATGCATCTTAAATGGATTGACTGATTTTGATGTATTGTTAAGAAAATGCATGGGCAGTCGTTCAAAGATTATCAGTTCTTTAGCTGCGTAATTTTAGTTGTAAACAATTACAGAAAACCTTCCGTACTAATTATACCTCACTTCCTACCAATCTCATGACTTTTTAAATTTCTATTCTCTTTTATAGATCTGCATTAACATGTGCCAAATGTGAGCGCACATCTTGTACATTTGACCCCTTCCACTGCGTGAGTGTGCAGCTACCCTCGAGATTAGCTACAACGCAACCTTCCCCACTGCCTATCAATGTAAGTACATATATACCTCACACTAGTAGGTCCGTAGATGTATAAAGACTCGTATAAGAAAACACCAAAATTTTATCACTTAAAATTTAGTCCCACTCACACAATAATTGCAAATCTACTTGAGTTAAATAGATATCATATCTCCAAATGGCCAAACAAAGAGTAACTTAGAAAAAGTACTTGAGAAATGAAAAGATATAGTAGGGAATATCTCAAGCAGGTCACAGTTCCCTTCCAGATGTCTTAATAATAGCTGTTCTCGGATCCTGCCCCTATTTAAGGCGCTGAATACACCACACCTTGTCGATTTAGACGGTTCGATTCCGGCACACAGCCTCACGCTAACCCTGGTTGGGTGACGCTCGAGATGGTTTCTACACACACCAAAAAAAGGAAAGGTCGAAATTAGAGCTAGTGCAAGGTTTACATAATTAAATATCCATGCATTATTACCATCACTAATCTACTAGGGTATTTACTTTGTTGTTAAAGTACTACCAAAGTGTTTGGTAAAGAATTAATGTTAAAAAATAAAAGTCTTCACAAGAATGTATAGTTACTATCTGAAAACAATGAAAGAGAGAGAGAAGACGGAATAATAATTGTGGAAGCTTTTTTTTAGCATTTATTGATTTAATTTGTAGCACTATTTGTATGTAGCTGTAAGCTCCCCTAATAATATGAAATATAAAGTGGGATGCCAAGTCTGAAGCATTACCACATAACATATGCCTTTCTATAATATTTAAAAGCATTTTGTTTGTATGATGTAAATTATTATATATTTGTTTCGGAGTTTTAGTTATAATATGTATGTTTTTACAAAAAAAGTATATAAGTAATTTTTCAGTCAATCTAACTTTCATAGTACAAGCTCTGCTTAGTTTGAAACTAGATGAGGTTGTGTGTCAGATGTCCGAAAATATAAAAAATATATTTAAATTAAAAGCTAGGTAAAATTTCGTTATTTAGAAAAATACGAGTTTTTATTCTCATAAGGTCCTTAGTCGGCAATAGTTAAAATACGGGTTTCCTAGGTAATGTAACTCCTGTAGTCATAATACTGAAGTTTTTAGGCTTACATAAATTGTGTTTGTTCACAGGTAGTATATGTTAACCAGCAGCCAAGACAGGTGCGCATTGGTATAGAACTTACGCCCAGTACTACTATGGACGAATTACGAACTACACTCCACAATGACACGGGCATTGATCGTGATCACATAATACTTGCAGAAATTAATGAAATGGGTGAGTAATCCATACTTGTATTATAAATATGAAAGTGAGTTTATTTGTTTGTAACGCTTTCACGCCTAAACCACTAAACCGATTTTAAAAATTCTTTCTCCAATGGAAAGCATCATTATCAGCGAGTGACAGAGGCTACTTTTTAACGCGTAGGCGCGGGCAAAAGCTATTATAAAATAAGCATTTAATATATGAGTAATCTTAATTCAATTAATTCAATTTGTAAAAAAACTAACTCAGATCAGATAAGATTTCATTGGCCTGAGAAATTCAAGTACTACCACTTAGTCTATTACAAGCCATTGTAACTACTATTCAGAGACTATGATCGTATTATTTCAAATTTGCAAGTGCTTTGAAGTATTTTGGTGACTTCTATTTAAAAAAATTACTACTCTTTCAGTGCGACCTACTGTGTTACACGTTTGACAAATACAATTCCTCACGAATACTAAAAAGTGACACTTAATTTTAAGAAGATGTTAGAGGTTCTGTTTTTTTTTATTAATGTAATAAAATATGATTTAGGGTTAAAATCGTTTATCAATTCTCCAGTGTTAGTTTTAGTCTCCCGTGACTTCAGATTCGTGGCTAAGTCTCCGGTACATACAAACTCTGGAGACCATTCATACTTTCACCATAATACTCAAGATTCGAGAACATTATTTAACCTGGCGCCCGGTTAAAAATTTGATGGTGATATGTATATGTATGACTACTACTTCTATTGAGACTGTAGATGTGGATGATTGTTGTTTGTCAGGTTGGTGCAACGCTCGTGCGGGGTGGGAGGCAGCTGGGATAGATTTCGGGGCGTTGTATTGTATGGAAGCGCCTTCGTTATTGCAGACACCCACCACGCCTTATCTACTCATCTTGTGGGTCAATCTACTCGAGGGAGAGAGATTCGGTTAGTCTAACGTTATTTTTAGCTTCAATTTGTTTTTAAACAGTACCAACTAATACGATCTAAGGGATTTTACGTATGCGATATATTTTAATGGGCTTTATTTTTTTTGTAAAAAATATATTTTTATGTGTATGTAGGGTCGCCTTACGCAATGCAAGTGCCTCGCGAGATCTCGTACGAGGACTTACAGAAGCTGATGCTAAAGGAGATGTGCCAGGTGGTGGCCGAGCGCGTGCTCGAGAACTCGCAGGGACACGACATCTTCCGCGCTAGGATAGCCGAGGCACACCGTCCAAGAGACCCCGCCTATTTACAGCCTGAGGTATCTTGCTCATAAATAATAGTCTGTTGTTTCAAGAGCTCTACATACAAAAATACTGTGCATTTCTGCCAACTATTATCCATAAACTGATTAAAATATATTAATCCTTAGTAACACTTATCATTACGAATCTTAAATGAAAACAAAATCATTGATTTAAATCGGTTTGTAATATGAAATGATATTTATTAATTTTCATTGCTACGAAATGTCCGCCTGTCTTGTCTTACATATGCTTATGTGGTTAATAATAGTTTTAGTTTTATTTTGAGATAGTGCATTTTACAAATTTGTTTGCTAAATTTTAAGTCAACAGTCAAGTCACTGTTTATAAATATTAATTGTGCCATAAAAACAGTCACCAAAAGTCATTAATTTAGGTCTAAAATTTTTATAATGTGAGTTTTCCAAAACTTTTTGTTTTTATTGCCCACAGCTTCCTCATCCACTGTTTTCTCTGGATGTGGAACAAGCGTTGTGCTCACACGACAAGTATCCACACCTTCGACTGGAACTGCTGTGGGACCCAGCCCACAGGGACAGGTATATATTCAACCATAATTTTTATAATATAATGTAACCTTGTGTTGATTTGAACCATGAACTTTAAATTAGGCTAATTAAAAATGCTATTAGCTTATCACTCTTTATGCAAATGTTGAACTAATTATACAAAATTGATAAATGAATATTCACAGCAGTGTTGGTCGCTTGTATATCTATATATAACTGTAAATTTCATCATTTTTTTATGGATTTACATTTAACTAGATGCCAAAAATTTCAGAGCATATTTGTTAGACTTTGTATACCTACCCATTTTGAAGGTGTTGCTAGCACCTTTATTGAAAAGTTAACGCAGCTTCTTCTAACTTTTTAAATGGGCCTAAATCATAATGAATTGTTAAATTCACAATGATGTAGGCGAAATGAAAATGTGTTTTGTAAATGTAGCTTGAACAAGAATTGACACCTTGCAATTAAATTAAATTTGGCCATAGGTTTGTTATGCATTCTTGGTTAGAGAAATCAAGCTTCTATAGTAGAATTATTTTCTCCGTGCAGTTTGGGTAATAAATAGTTGGAGCGGTGAAGCGAGTATTTCGTTCTCTCTTCCACTCACGAGCCTTATGGGCGGGCATAGTGATGCGCATTATTGTTGTCGATAAGCGTTATCGATAGTGTATTTAGTTTTGTCATTTTGTGGGTTAGTGACAAAAATTAAAGAAAAAATAGATAAAACAACGTATTTATTAAAATAATAATAATATAAAAATGAACTTTTTACACACACACCCTTTGTACACTCTTTTTTAATTTTGTCGACCGTTCTAACACTCACACCACATATCGCCGCAGCAAGTTCACGAGAACGGCAGAAATTAACACTTTGTAACTTTTGGGGATCTATTTTCATTTCAGTGAAAAATTTTAAAACATTGTTGATAACAACACGTGCTTGTGCTGGTATATTGGTGCCAAGCGGCAAAATATTATTTTTAATAAATTCTGCCGTTTTGGTACAAAACAAAGGAGTAGCCATTGTGTCACTAAAGAAATTCAGAGAGCGAATGCACAAAAACACATTTCTCTTCGACATATGTACTATAATTTGCAGTGGGAAACAACAAATGACTCATAACATAACAATGTCTCACCACCTTTGTATACCGCCCCGCTGCCGTGTACCTGCCTTTGATGACTCATTTGTTCTTATCGATAATGGCGTTGCGCCCGCGCAACATGCTCACCGCCCTAGCCGGGCCGGGGCCGAGCTATGGTTTATGACCCAAACTGCACGGAGAAAATAATTCTACTTTAGTTCTATCCAATACGAGGTTACAGGTATCGAAAACGTCCCAAATGAAATCACAATAAGCATGATACGGGTCTCTACACGATACTCGATGACCTCGTGAGTGCACGGGCGGCGTAGCGGTTTAAGTGATCACCTCGCCGCTTTTTAGTGTGTCGAGTGTGTTGGTTCGATCCCCAATTATTTGTGGATCACTTATCGTTCATCGATCATTCGTCGTTATCCCATGATAACACTTCGAGTGATCCACAAATAGTTGTTCTGAATTTGGGTGTTCTTTGTGTCCGTTTCGTGTATATTTGTAAAGTCCCTCGATATACATGATATATTTCTAGTGCGAGAAGTTTTGTATGGCCTTTTTTATATAAAATTTTAACTTTAGGCCACATATTGCTTAATCGTTTTTTTATCTTTCTGCACTTCTAGAAATATATACTTTGAGTATTTTGACTGCACGGATGGCGTAGTGGTTTAAGCGGTCACCTCGCCGCTTCGTACTGCGCCGAGTGTGTGGGTTCGATCCCCACATGAGACGACACTTCGTGTTTTACACAAATCGTTGTTCTGAGTCTGGAAACAGGATTTATTCCTAGTGGGGTAGTCGTCTTTAACAAAAAGAAAGAGTTGTCTTTTTTAATAGAATAAAAGAAAGAAGTGGTGAGGTATACGTTAGTAACGAGTCCGTTTTGCGCGCAGCATAATCCGTTCTATGGGCGAGGCGTGCGAGGTGCACGTGTCGGCGGCGCGCGCGGGCGGCGGCGACCCGCTCACGCTGCGCGCCTGCCTCGCGCACTACACGCGCGCCGAGCACCTCGCGCAGGAGGACGCCTGGCGGTACGCACACACGCATATTGCTTGCACTGACGCCTCGTGGACTGTGGACCGAATATACACGGTTACCGGGCAACTCGACCTAAATACTTTAAGGGGTTGTACTTGCCATCATTTCTGATAAATTTCACTATGCCAAATCTAACCTTTTTCAAGATATTTGACTTTTAAGATTTTTGTAAAGATTGCCGAAATTTTTCCTAATATATTTTTTTTCAAAACTTATATCCTTTTATTTACCGTTTTTGTATAGTTAATACGTTGTTTTATAATTTACATTACAAAACTTGTAGTTAACAAACTGGGCCGAAGTAGATAATTAATAATAGCAAAAAGAAATAAATTTGTAAAAATATTTTATTGTTGACGAATATTAAAAAAAATCAATTAAGAAGTCCAATATCTTGAAAATGGTAAGTCTTGAGATATGGTATTTCATAGTGAAATCTATCACAAATGATAGCAACTACAACCTCTAAAAGTATTTAGTTCGACTTACCCGGTAACCCTGTATATAACCCCTTATTCTAATAGGAGTGTACGAGACCGGCAACTTGAGTTGAGTTGTCTGTGGCAGGAGGTAGTCACTTACCATCAGGTGACGGTATGCTCCCTCCTCCTATAACATAAAGAAAAGAACTAAATGCCACCAAGTAGTCCGAGCCCTTTATCATTGTTTATCTTAAACAGTTTTACCTGATTATATGGCCATTGATCTGCTGCTTTAAGATCGTAGAATCGTTGGCAATTTACAATATTTGCCAACTACACCATTATACGTCCCATACTACATATCCTTATTAGTTTTAACGATACAAGACGTATACATAATATAATAATATAAACATTCAGATTATTGGTTTTGTATTTTTCTTAGGTGTCCCCAGTGTCAACGGTACATGCCAGTGGTAAAGACACTCGGACTGTGGTCTCTTCCGGATATCTTAGTAATACATTTAAAAAGATTTCGACAGTAAGTACTTTTATACCTATAAATATTTTTGTACTATAATTGATTATGAAAGATAGTTTTGTAGCAAATAATTCACGCATTACCATTTTTACAGGCAAGCTAAAGGTCGTTCGAGTACAAAGTTAACAGCTATGGTTGAATTTCCGTTAAATGATTTCGATATGACGCCACACCTTGTGAGAAAAAATGTACAAATAGCAGAATCGCCGGGCCACTCGCGGTCGCCCCGGCGTCGACATTCTAAAACACCAGTGTCAAACCCACAAGAGAACATATACGATCTCTACGCTGTCTGTTACCATCACGGAGATGACCTCGAGACCGGCCATTACACAGCTGCCTGCAAAAACCCATACGATGGACATTGGTACAAATTTGACGATTCGAAAGTGACGCCGGTAGATGATGAAAATGCCTACAGTGAGTTAGTTAATAATACTGCTTATATGCTTTTTTATAAACGTAAAAAACCAATCGTGACACATTCGTGTTCGTCTGACGAAGGCGGGCATTGGGCGTTACGAATGCCGAAATTTGTGAAACGAACGACCGAAGCACTAAACGAATTGTCAGAGGTTAAGGAGGAGAGCGTAATCGAACAGGTTAAGATTGAACAGTCAAACAATGAGCCGGACTCAGAGTCTGACATAACTGCCGTCACCCGTAGCCCGTCTCTGTCTCGAAGCGTGGCCAGCCTGCTCGACGACAGTGCCACTGAACCAATTGCTCCTGTTAAACACACGGTTACTGTGATTCATAACGCCACGACTACCACAAACGTGCAGTTGCCGTTATCTCCTGCTCTCCAGAGGCCACTAATAGTTGAAGTTAACGGTAATAATACGACCGACGATAGAAGCGAAAATGAAAACGAAAGTAGCGTGTCATTGGAGCCGTACATTCATAAAGATGTGCACGTGAATCCTAAGATGACGCCTGTGGACACACGAAGGCCGCGCTCGGTAGATTATCCGAACAGATCGAATGTAACGTCGACTACGGCTAGAGATACCAACAGGAATTATGAAAGTTCTCCTTTAGTAGCTAGTATAAACGAGGTCGAGTATCACCCCACCACTGAAGACTTAATGTTGTCAATGTTCCAGGAGTCTAAGTTCATTGTTTCTAGGCACACCAATCATGTTACCGGGGAATCTCATAGGGCAGGTCAGTATTAAATTAGCTTATTATCACCACAACCAAGGCAGTGATTTTTGTAATTTTGTGATTGAATTAATTAATTTAATTAATTTTGATTCAACTACACTATATACGTTAAATAGTGTTAAAAAAAATTACATAAAATTATTGTTAGGTTTTTTTCATAACATTCCATTTAAACTTGTGCTCGGGTCTCGTCTCCTATCGAAAATTTGGGGTATATTTGTAATTTCACCGTGTTATATAATTCGTGTAGGTTTATTTTATTTATTTTCCTAAGAGGTCAATTCAAAATTTGCATATTTAGCCGTTTGGTTTCCGTTTTTGACAATTCATAATTTCTGACTTTCATGTTTCATTATTTCTATATAAACTAGATGAGACAAATTCGTGGACCTGAACTCAATAAAGTTTTTTTTCCTAAATCCGATCAAACAATGGGAAAAGTTTTGATGAGATCTGCAGCTGTGAAATCGTATAATTCTTGCCCAAACTGATACTCTTTATACAAATAGGACATTGTAGTTATATATTTCTGTAATATGTTATGTAGTTCATTGACACCCTTGTATATATTTCTGTTCATATGACCACATATTTACAGGAGAGAAGTCTTCTGTTTGGAAAACTCGAATATCTACATGAGAGGAGCAGAAGATTCCTGAACAATATTGTGTTTTACAAATATATTCTTTATTTATATTATATTCCACCTTAGATCTGAGGCATTCGTGTAGCTGACAGTTCATTTTTTGTACATCTTGTATACGCTCGACAGTTAGTCAAACTGAGGCTTATCATTGTTTTACATTACTTCATATAGTTTCATTGTTTTTTTTCATTTAACTTATTAGCGCTATTATAATTACTAGTTACTATTTACCGAAATCAATTATCAAATAGGGATGTTGACTATGTTGTTATGTTTATTTGAAATGTAGAAGGTTATAATAATTATAGAAATTAATAAAAATGGGCTAAGATCACAAGACCTAATAAATTATTGTTAACTAATTAACAACTTACAGCTTTCGGTTGGTATGTTAATTTTTCTACATTATTCTATTAAGAGCTCTCTGTTTTATTAATAGGCTAGTGACGTCGTAGTGTCATGTGGTCAATGCTAGTATTATTAGGGGAATGGAAAGTAAATGAATTTTTGCTATATTTTTTCAATTGAATATTTTTTGCGTTTCTAGACCAAAATTAGCAATATATTATCTAAAACTTTAATATGTTATTTTTTAATAAAAGCATTCTGAAAATTTGTCAACATCCCTATTGTAACAGTATTTACCAATAGTGAACAAAAAATACTGTTGCTATTATTTATGTATCTTATGTAAATGGATTTTCATACATTCATGTTTCCTTAAAATGGCTTTGACAATACAGCATTGAATGATAGTAATTTGAACAATTGTATGTAAGTACTAAACAATACTGGAATGAAACATTTGTACATTAATTGTAAGGATTAGTCAGATTTACGTGTTCATGTTCCAGACTTGGCCAAAGATATTATTATTGGCAGTAATTTAATAAAGAGAAGTAATGACCTCATAATTTTCTAATTCTTTTAAATGTAGTATAATCGTGTACCTATATAAATGTACAACCAATTGTAGATATACCTTTGACATGTTGCCTAGGGGCCTGATGGCTATGGCTAATTATTAATCACATTTGTGCCTTTTCCCTGGAGATGTTGTGATTAAAAAAAGTAAATATAAACATAAATACATTGCGCACATTGTGACAAAAGATTAATATTTGTACAGCTCGATATATTATTTATATATTGTATGTAATATAAGCATTCAAAATATTATGTAAATTAACTAATGTTGGAACAGTGATCGACTCATCTAGAATAGCGGTTTGTTTGCGTTCAATTATTCCGGGTTTTTACTATGAGTATCGTGAGATATTATAGTGATGTATATGTATATGTTTCCACTAGATAATGTACATATATGTATATCTTTCATTATATATAATTTATACAAACGGCGATTTGTTATATATTTACCTAAACTGATATTGGAATTTTGATGATGAGGATTTTTTTTGTAAATACTAATTGTTATTTTTTTTATAATTGCACCTAATTTTAGATAACCTTTAATGAGTTTGATCATGATAATTTTTTATAGAAAATTGATTTTTATATAAAAGACAAAGTTTATTATTGGTATAAGATCACAATCACGATTGATGTACTTTAATGTGAGCTAAACGACGTACCTGATCCACTATATTATCAGGATAATACATTTTATAATTTTGATATTAAATAATTCGGTGACATTTCTAGCATTGACCAAAATTTTTGATTTTTTGTTACACATATTGTCACAAACTTGAAAGATTTGAATCTTATTAAATATGTTAACATAAGAAATTAGTTGTATGATAGTCATACATCATATAAACCACTAAGACAATTATTATATGACATTTTGGAATGCTGGAATGTTTCTGAACGTATGCCGAAGTGCTTAATTTGAAATATATCCGAGTATCTGTTGTTTTGGAAAGTTGATTATATTATTCATCCGCAATGGAAGGCTCTCATTTATAGAAAACAGATTAATTTATTTTTATAAGTCTTCAGAGATAGCGACACGTGCATATAGTGATCTCTACCATTCGGTGTAATAAGTTTGTTAAATAATTCGTTTATAATTAAATACTACCTGTTAAGATTATCAGTGAAATAATCTTAAATGAAATTACATACTAATTCAAAACGGTTATTAATTTGGTCCTCATGAATTATGCTTGCTCATTATTATGACATAACTTAAAATAATATATGCACTCATTAAAATTGAAAATGCTAGTTTAAAGAATTATATACTGTCATATTTATTACTAAACTAGTTGCCGAATATGTAGACAGTTGTATTTATGAAGTAATTGAGGACTTAACGTTAAAAGAGAATGGATTTAAAAACATTTTATTTTTTCAATAACATTTGACCAAAAATATTAGTCTTAATCGTAACAATTTCATCGAACAAGCGCGGAAAAATAAAAATTCAATTGAAATATATTTTTTTTATATTCTCAAACCCCACAAAAAACTTTAGTTTTTTTAATTGGTGTACCTATTTAAAAAACTAAAGTTTACTCAAATGTAGATAATTTAATTCAAGGAAGCCCAAAGAACTCTGTGTATTCGAAAATTCCATTTGACCACGATAGTATCCATACCCTACTCGTGACGTGATATTAACGATGTATAGATAACATTGGCAGGAGATTAGAAAGGTTTATTACTTATTCGATATGCATGGGTCGGTCTCTGAACATTTGCAATAAGTTCGTTGTTTAATTTAAAGATGTTTATTTTAATTTCACCATGTTATGTTAAAATATAAGCGTTATGTCTACAATGATATTGTTTTATTGTTATCTAGTCCATGTATATGTATAAAGCTACATTTTGATGTGCCCGTCACATATTTTTTAAAGGAGTCCACTTTCAATTACTTAACTCCACGTGTATGCCGCCGCCTTCTATTTCGATTCCGGTTCTTTTTAAAAGACCTTAAAAAGTTGATGATTTCGACTGGATAAGTTTTATTTTCATCTAAGGCCTTTCTAATAATATAATTACTTTTTTTAAAATATAGTTTTGCATGCTTAATAGGAGTCACTTGAGCAATAATTAAGATAAAACAGTAAAATTGCGACAGCCAAATTCAAGCACTTGGGTATACAAATCGTCATCACATATCTGATTATGAATAAAAATGATTCTGAGGAATCTTTGGAAGCTTATATTTTATCAGGATATTGTCGTTCTGATTGTCTTAGCACTGCAGTCGCAGTTGACTGAAAGTGGAGGTCTTCTGCATACTGATTTACTGCCGCCTTAATTAAATTGCTGTGACCCCTTGAAATTGAAGACATTTTATTTGGCCTGCTTGAATTATTTCTACATCTGCTATGAATACACAAAATTCGACAAATATTTATCGACCGCTGTTGGAAACTTACAAAAGTTATATACAGCCTTGGCCAAAAGTATTAGGCACCCTACATTTTACTTAAAATAAAGGAAAAAACACAATTTATACTTTTTGAAATGATTTATTACCATTAAACTACACAAAAAAGAATGAAAAAAACTTAAAATCTAGTCGGTCCACCTTTGGATTAAATTACTGCACTAATTCTAGCTGGCATGTTGCGTACAAGCTTAGTACAATCCTCCAATGTAATGGCATGCCATTCTTGTACTAACACATTTTTAATGCCGTTTTCGATGTGATACTATGCTTTTTAATCTTGCGCTTCAAAATGCTCCAGATATGTTCAATTTGGTTCAAATCTGGTGACTGCGTTGGCCAATCAAACAAGTCAATGTTGTTTTCGGTAAACCAACGCATCGTAGTCGCTGACTTATGACAAGGTGGATTGTCTTGCTGGAATATAACTCCCTCTACGTTGGTATCGCCGAAAATACTCGTTAGCGAAGGCATACGCGGTTTTAAGCACTTTTATGTACTTTTCGCTGTTCATACGATCTTCGCAAACAAACATTTCGCCAACCCCATCACTAGCCATGCAGCCCCAGATCATTATGCTGCCTCCTCCATGCTTTACTGTCGGTACGACGCAATCTGGATGGTATTCTTCGCCCACACGTCGCCTCACGTAGGTCACACATGGCGTTCCAAATATCTGTTGATAAAAGAAAAATAAACACTTTTTTTAAACTGTCTTAACTTTTATTATTTTAGTTAAATAAATAACTGACCATGATTATTAATAACAAAAGCAGTAACATTTACTTACCTCAAAGTTAGATTCGTCAGACCATACCACATTGGCCCAATCTTCCTCAGTAAAATGTTGATGCCGTAGAGCCCATTCAAGTCGTTTTCTTTTGTTAGCTTCTGAAAGCCAGGGCTTCTTCCTGGCTTTGCACCCTTTTAAGCCTGCTTCTCCAAGTCTTCTTCTTGTGGTCCGAGCACTTATTGGCTTTCCAGCCTCTTCGGACAAAGTAGCATCAAGCTCTGATGATGTTTTCTTCCGATCTTTCATATATTCGCCTATTAATTTTCTATCCTCGCGCTTGGAAGTCACACGTTTTCTGCCTGTTCTTGGTTTATTAGCGTGACTGCCAGTCTCAGCAAACCGTTTGATAGCAGATTGCACAGCGCAACGCAAACATTTCACTAACTTAGCAATTTCTTTTTGCGACTTCCCTTGTTCATGGAAAAGTTGTATTTTTACTCGGTTTTCCAAACTAATTTCACTTCTTTTCGGCATTTTTAAATAAATTACGCGTCAATTTAATCACTATGTTAGAAATAAATGCTTGTTTACTCGTTAGAGTCCTGAACACAAGTGACCAAACATTGACTGATAAGAACGCATAAAAACAAATCCTTTGTTTTCAGTCACAGATGTAACAGATAGCTGCTTGCTTTTCTAGGAAGTTATTTGTGACCCCGGCGTGCCATCTAAGATAAGCATTTATTCATAGTTCAATCAGTAAACATGAATTGTGCATTTTTCTGGGGTGCCTAATACTTTTGGCCAAGGCTGTATGTACATCAACAACATCCCTCGTAGTGGTTTTGAATCTTGCTTTAGGTACTGTGTTAGTCTATCTTTCCAGAAATAAGGCTTAGTAGTAACTAAGCCTTTTTTCTGGACTAGTACGTACTTAAGAATTTTTGATAGATATATATAATAATAATAAATAATGATAATATTTTTAATCATCATTCATTTCAATTTTTTTTATGGTATAAGGGGGCAAACGAGCAGACCCGTCTGCAAGCAACCACCGCCGCCCATGGACACCCGCAACTCAAAAGTCACAAGTGCGTTACCGCCCTTGGAGTCCCTCCCGCTCGAGTCAGCGGGAGGGTGGATTTGGGCTCCAGTAACACTCACTCAGTGAAAGGCAACGAAAGAATTGCTTAACACCGGTTTTCTTTAAGGTCGTGATGTCACTCCGGTCGAGCCGGAGTGATACCACGAGTGATAGGTTTTTTGTGGGATATAACTCCCATTTTCTGAATTGCGGTGATTCTTATGATCCGATTATACCCTAAGTCTAATGCGTAAAAAAAATACAAAATATATAGCTTGATATTAAAACACCATAAAAGTTTCTTTAAGCTCATAGGACACAATAAACTACTCGACGTAGCTTTTTTTTTGACTGGGTGGAAATCCTTTGAATTCGGATCGCTTGCTCCTAGGTCCTAGGGGATACAGGAGCCAGGAGTCTGTGGTGTTTAAACTAGAAATCACTCCGACGACCGGCCTGAGGTGCCTTACTTGGGGGAGGACCGCTACATACGCGAGGTTCCACAGAAGGGGTCCTAAAACTGACCCCTGAGGTACCACGGCTGTTACCGACCTTCGACGTTTTTCTCCGTCACCCATATAAGATATGGACCTATCGGGAAGATTAGCCCCAATGATGTCCCGCAGGTAGGAGGGCAACTGGTGATACACCAGTGACTACCTAATCGCCCACCACGGGGAGTTAAAGACGTTGACTATGTCAAGACTGACGGCCAACGCCACTTCCCATTTCCCGACAGAAAGAAGACCATTGGAAGCCAAACTGGTTGTCTGATAGGTCAGAGCCCACTCGCGAAAGGTGCTGGTTGATACGGGCGGCGTTAACTCTTACGAAGAGTTTCGCAGCCGAAGACATATCGGTGAAACGCCAATTGAAAATCTGCAGCCCTGCCAGGTTTCTGGATAAGTACCAGCTTAGCTTCCTTCTAACCGGAAGAAAATACGCTATTTCGGAGGCAGCTGGCAAACAGTCGCCTCAGCTTATCCCCTAAGACCGCCAAAGCTCACACCCATGCTCGTCCCGGAATCCCATCAGGGCCCGGGGCGGTGTTACGGGCGGCGATTCTCTTTACGGCTCGGTCCAGCTCTTCCTCCGTCACGTCAAAACTGTCGGACCACGTAACCGGTTTTGACGGTGACGGATTTATTTTTTAAATAAACCTAGGTATCACTTATTTCATGCATTCGTAGAATTACATCGAAAGTGTGCGGCAGCCTGATGTGTAACTATGGACTCATACTGAACGGATAGTTGGATGTGCTTGAGCTGTCACCTTACGTTAGTACAATATTAGTTTATTTAGGTACTTCCGTCTAGGTGGCACTGATCACCATTGTACACCGACTCCCTTTGCCACTTTTTTCCCAAAAGCAAAGCAACATATATGTTGTTATTTCTCTTTCCCTACCGTATGTCACTTACACAGTTTAGGTTTCTACCATAAACTCAGTGTCCTAACTGTAACTAAAGTTTATGATTTCTACATTTTCTGGTCCTGCCCTATTTCTACTTAAAATCATGAGGATAATCCTCGTGATGTTGAGTAGAATTCATGCTTATTTGCTTTATAAATAGGTACGAGTATCAATAAAATGCAATTATTTCAACAAGAACTTTTATTGATTAGCACTCAGAAACGATAATTGGTAATGAAAGTTATTTTGTGGTAAGTAGATGACGACCCGTGAAGAGTGTCGAGGTAGTTGGAATCAAGTACAAGGAGTACAGGTTTGAAAGGAATTGCAGCTACAGCGGTAGTCGTCAGTCGGGGCCCTGCTGAGTGTATGTTGTCGAGACGGGAGGAGTTATATGCGAGTCGCATGTCCCAAACCAACACGTCAGAACATTCGGTATGACGAAAAAATACATTGTGTCCATAAGTACCTAACAGCACCACCGGCTTGGAATGTTCACCAAATACTGCGAACAATATACAAAAACTCGTGTAGCTATTTTACATATAAAGATAAACAATAATTATAAAGGGTATCAACGTAACTACGCTATAGTTAGTAAAATGAAACTTTAAATCGAGCTGCTATTTTAATAATTTTCATAGAATGATGTAGGGATTCTAACAATACTCCACACCTATATCCAATTTTTTTTAAAGGAAATTATGATTGGCTTGATTGGATAGATTTTATTTTTATATCACGCAATAAAAAGAGAGAGAGTATGTTCGACGAGTACTGTACGCAGTGCCAATAACACTAACTAAATGTTTTTACTATAATCTATATCAGTTTACTAAAGAGAAACTGACTGACTGATTCACTGACTGATCGATCAACGCACAGCAGAAATCGCTTGGTATAGAAGCATGAAATTTTCCACAAATATTCCCTAGGTGACGTAGGTGTGCACCAAAGAAAGGTTTTTTAAAAATTCCAGCCCTCAGGGTGTAAAATGGAGGTTGGAATTTTATATTCAACTTCGTCATTTTTTGTAGTAGCGTTTTTAAACTCACAGTAAATAGTCTTTTTGAAAAGTATTAAAACACTGTGTTACTAATTTTTCAAAACTGTATTTAAAAAGGGGTGCAAGTTTGTATGGAAAATATACCTATAATCTTGAAAAAATTTAGGACATACTTGTAAGTGGAGCTACAGAGTCCTTTCTTCGTAGAGCTGCAGTATCTAATTCAATAATTCCATGATAATGAAGTCTGACAACTATGAGTACGGAGTGTGTTGGCTGTTTCACTAAAGCTATCTGCAGACCAGGTGCTGGCGAGCAGACCACCACTGGCCACTCCGATCCAGATCCAACTTCAAGTACCAAGATTGCTCCTCGCGACGCGTCTGAGATGTATCTAAAAGAAAAAAATAACTTTTATTGATGCCATTAGTGTGCTTTGTTAAATGACTAATTAATCTTTTAACCACCAAAGTCAGATTTATCTGTATTTTGATTATTTGTTTGTAATAATAAGTAAATGTTTGATTTATAATAATAATAAGGATGGACTATAAGAAGACTTAGGATATGGCTTTGGAAGGTGCTGGAGTTGTATAAAATTGATACATCTCTGTGCACTTACTTGAAGTCATTATGGGGCAATGGAGAACAGTACTTCGTTATCCAGGATGTCGGGAGACAGCGGTAAACGATGTACTAGTAAAGATCGAGCGGTGTATATTTCAAGGTTGTGGTTTTGTCTGGCTTTGAACCCTCTTAGCACTTTATAAGAGGGTTCGGGGTTAGGCTATAGGTTGCAGAAAGAAAATCAAGTTATATCTCACCTTCTTTATATGGATGATTTGAAACTACGAGTACTAGCCCCCACGCAATTACAATTGACCGACATTAAATATCAAGACCCTACACAATCGCGAGATATGCAATCTCAGAGAATATTTTATACATACTGATGTGGGAGTGCATTGCAATGTAGTTGCAGAGGATACCGGAAGCACCCCGCAAGCAAGTATGGAAGAGCAAAGAGCTCAATGGTCGGTTTTATCGGGCCCTAAACTTCTCCGATATAGACTTGAAAGCATCTACGACATGGCTACGGTATGGTAATCTCTTCGAAGAAGGCTTTGTTTGTGCGGTTATGGACGAAGTTATCATGACGAATAACTATCGGAAATATACTTATATGGGGAATCAATCAGGCATATTATTTCTGGTTGTTCTCACTCATGTTGTATTGGGATCGATTTATTATCACAGACAGGACTATTGTTGCCAATAAGCCAGATATTGGCGTGATAGATCGATTAGAGCGTCTCGCAATGATTGTTGATATCGCCGTTTTTCATGACAAGAATCTAGTGAAAGTTGAAAAAGAAAAACAAATAAAATATTTAGATTTATCTCACGAGATTGTCGATATTTGGAATGTGGATTCGGCGATCATTGTTTCCATAGTCGTATCTGCTCACGGATTGATAGCAAGAGTCTCGACCAATACCTGAAGAGGTTCATGTATTTTTTTTCTTTTGTATATTTAAAAATGTAATGAATATGTATATATAATGTTACAAAGAGAATAACAATAATAATTTATTTCCATAAAAGATCATATACTTTATATTTTCATTCTAAAAGTTGTCTCAAAAGGTTTTAAGTTTAACTTAAGTTTGACATCCAAGTTTAACCCAAAGCTGGTGGAAAATAATTAATTTGGTGGTTTTAATTATTACTATACAGTGACTCTACCTTCTAGACTAGATAATGACATGTATCTCAGAAGATAGCTTTAGATATTTTTGTACTTTATCTTCTATTTCTAAGAATATTACGTTGTTTTTTTTTAAATAGCAATATTTCTAATAGAAGCTAATATTATCCATAAGAATGTGTGTAAGAATGTGAATGCGTAACTTGTAACGCCCGTGTCCTATTTATTCAACAGTAGTGAGGAGACGTGTTGTGCACGTTGTATTTGTTAATACTTAGGGCATACTGAAAGTTTCTGGATTCTGATAAAAAAGAATAGAATATTCCCTCGCAATAAATGCATTTTTGCATCCTCTGAAAACACTGTACAAAGGTATTGGACTAGTCTTCCTTAGGGACCTCTTCAACGGCCTTATGAAACGCATTCATCGCCGTTTCAAGGCTCTTAAAACGTGTGCCTAAACAAAAACGAGTCGCAGGGTGCGAGGGCCAAGTTGTAAGGCGGATGCGTCATCAGTTCTATATTTGAAGCCTTCAAATAGGCTTCTGTTACCTTAGCGGAATGTGAGGATGCGTTATCGTGGTGAAGGAGGTAATTGCTTGACGCTTTCCGCGAACTTTTCCTAAGACTATGGGCAAGCAAGTGTTGACATACCAATTTGCAGTCACTGTCCTTTGATTTTCAACCGATACTGTAGTGTAATGTCCTGATTTTCCGAAAAAAGAATCAACCATGTTTTTACCAATGCTTTTCGTAATCTTCGTCGGCAAATCTTCAAAAAGAAACACCCACTCTGACGACTGGATTTTTCTTTCGGGTTCAAAGCAGTAGGTACACCCAGGTTTCGCCACCTGTCACGATATTATAGAAAGCCAATGATGTCTTCCGTTAAACTTTTTTATAATTTTACAGCACCACAGGACACACAGTCGTTTCTAATCACTCGTTAAGTCATGCGGTATCCATCGAGTTCAAAGCTACCGAACCTTCTGATGCACATGTTTTGCACTTGGCTCATTCCAATGCATAAAAAAGCACGAATTTGCTGGCAAATAATTTTTTTGTCAGTTTCATTAAGTTGCCGCCAGCCGACCTTCACGTACCTCGTCATGGTGATGATCATGTTCATGTTTAAATACTCCAAACCACGAATACAAAGAGCTGCGACATGGTGCTTCATCACCAAATACCAATTGAAGTCTCTGGCAACTCTCTTGTTGACTTAGGCCACAACGAATAGATAAAAATTCATTGAACGAGAATGTTCACGAGTTAAATTCATTTTGATAGCGACACACAATTTTTAAAAGGACGTCACATTGAAAAAACAAAATGCAGTCTCGCAAATTAAAAAGTAACATTTGTTCCATTTTCGAATTTCATAACTGTTTTCTCAGTCTTTTGTTGTAAGTGGCCAAATCCAGAAATTTTCAGTATGCCCCACGTATTAAATTCTGTTAGGAAATAAGCAATTTAATTATTTATGTACGGGCGACTATAGACAGATGCAAGTTACCATCCCGAGACTAGAAAATTATTTAGATAACATGTTATCTAAATAATTTTACGCCAGTATAGCCAGCGCCCGAGTCGGATAAACACTACTTCCTGTGACGTCATAACCGAGGCAAACCGAATGGAATTTTCCATTAGTGCTGTGCTTGTTTTTCTGAATATATTTTTTACGTTTTAGTTTTATATTCTGTTTCTAAGCTGAAATATTTTGTTAGATTTATTATACCTAATCATTAATATTAACGATGACGAAATAAATGTGATTAATGACGTAAATTTGTATTTCTTTTTTGTTTTATCTAACGTACTTATATGGTCTACTTGGCCAATGTACTTTCACAGAGGAGTACGCCAGGCTACGACCACTTCAAATAAATGCCTAGAAATTATGTTTACCTAATCATAAACTGTTGCTTATGATTCATTTATAAAACGGCGTGAGGGGTCTATGGACCCCCGGTGAGAACGAAGTTGTATGTGTATTCTTAATCCGTCACCACACGGTGGTAAGTAAATTACTTGCAAATAATGCACACACTACGAACTATTTATAAATTTCCGCCACCGAACGGACACCTCCTCAGTATCGCGTTCTCAGAATGCTGGCAGCAACAATGTAGCAATCCACGTTGTTGCTAAATGTTTTAAGTAAAGTAGTTAGTTACTTATAAGTAACTAACTACTTTACTTAAAACACTTATATTATAAATGTCAAAGTGAGTTTGTATGCTTCGCCTTCACACCTTAACCACTAAACCGATTTAAAAAAAAACTTTCACCAATGGAAAGCTACATTTTCAACGCGTAACATAGGCTACTTTTTACCGAAATACACGCGGACAAAAGCTAGTGGATTATATTACTTTCAGTAAATAAAAGGTTGTATGAATAAGTACATTATATTTTAAGTTAAAATTGAATAATGAACGTGTATTTTACATATGAATCACCCATAAACATTACCTATAATAATTCAATTCAGTTAGATCTTGTAAGGCTTTTAAAATATTTTTACTTACCTTTTTACATTTTTTGCAAAAAAAAGCATAGATGAACATAATTATGTACCCCATGTACGTAATTGTGTTCACCTATGCTTTCCTTTTGGACTTACTAATACGATATTAAATATGAAAAGTTTTGTAAACTAAACATATACTTACATAAATGTCTTGCCTGCTAGAGTGTGTTCAATAACTATGTTTTGTAGTAGAGAGTTTGGTTCCCACGCAGACGATATATCAATGATCTTGACCAGCTTTCCTAGAACCATACTGATGACTATCACTTTTGGTGGGCATGTGCATTTTGGCGCTGTTAGGGTGTCCACAACACCACTGTCCAGGATCCAAAGCTTACTCTGTGGGATTAGAAAGTTGGCGTTAAATCGTGAAAGCGTTTTGTGTTTATATGTGTATAGAATAAATTTGTATCTGTAACTTGTTAAACCGGCAGGCTAAAAGGTTGTAGCACTATCGAGTTCGCTGATGGAGCGATACATGTCCTTCCTTTGAGGTTAGGAAATACTTCAGTAGAATGACCTCTGATATTGTCTTCGAAGCATTGGAGCAGCTTGCCACAGTAAATGGGGTACTACTCCAATGGATAAAAGGGCATGGTAATTCACACGGGAACGACGCCGCAGATGAGTTGGCAAGGAAGGGCTCGGTAACCCCGGCCACCGGCCCAATCATACTGCTGCCACTGCCTTTTAACCAACTTCGATCCATGATCCAGCATACTCGTGAAGTACACAACCGAAGGTGGAAAAACTCACCCGGCTGCAGACAGTCCAAACTGGTGTTGACTGAAGTCTCCACCACGACTTACTTGCAGACTGATCAGTCTTAATAAACTAGATATCCGAATAGTTGTAGAAACCATAATAGGACAACTAGCCCTAAACCGACAACTATTGACCATTAATGCGACGGACAGTCCTATTTACAAAGAATGTCTGAATGCAGAAGAAACGGCCGCCCACGTAATCCTGGAATGCGAGGGTCTGGCCACACAACGGGCAAGTATCATTGCTGATACAAAATCGCTCCTAGAAGCCTGTGAACGCCCCAGGAGGCTTCTGAGCTTCTGGTAGGAGCTTGGTTGACTCACCTAGTCAACCTGTCCTCGACGCATAAAGGATCATCGTTTCAGCATTGGTCTACTCTAGAGTATATTGTAATGCAATACGCATCACCGTAGAAGTGCCATCTAATTGGGTTTTTGAAGGATAGACGAACGAAGGATTTGTGTAGTAAACCAGTCCGGCAGTTGGGATTGGGTGATTATAATTTACTAATCTATTTTAGTTTACTTTACTATGGAATGTATAAATATTATAAGTACATATATTATTATTGTAACATTATCTCGGTAATTAATCTTTTTTTTAGTTCAGTACGTCATATGTACGTTAATGTGGGTTAAGATGTAAAAAATAATACTCGTATGTAATGCATATGCAATATGTAATGTTAGCACGAAAATGTAATTAAAACTGTCTTAATAGATAACTTACCTCAAAACAGTGCAAGCACTTAAAATTAAAGCAGCAATAAATCTGGTTAGTTTAAAAATATAATGAAATATTATTATGATTATCACATTATTTATAGCCATTAATATTGTGATAATCATATATAATATAATAATCATATATACGGCATATGGCTGTACTACGAAATGTGCAAAATAAAAGACTTAATTGAACACTTAGTGCTTTAATTAAACTCTAGACACATTTAATATCGTAAGAATTACATAAACTCTGAAATTGTTCATGGAACGCATTAATTAAGAAGATGCTTTCATTCGATGAAGACATCTTTTTTTACTGATAGAATTATGTTGCTACAAAATTTCACAATCTGTACAATGTTTTCTTAGAAATATGTCGTATTTACGCTACTAACCACAAATAATGACAAAAATCAGCAAAATAGTAGATAAACATTTCATTTAGACATTGCAATTATAGCAATAATCACTCGGTAACGCTTTGTTTAATGCTCATAAGTTAATATCGCTCTATCGCTTCTTGTAAGTATAATCATACATAGATATTCCAAATACCTACGATTGCATGAAATCAATTCAATGGAAACCAATAAAACAATGAGTTTCCATATTTATTTTCGGTAGTATTACGACACAATATGATAAAGACGGGTCGATATGTTAGACAGTTACAGACAGTAGATTTAAGCACGGACTAAATACAAAGAGATGTTGTAATTAGATTTCCCTATGAAACCACGCGTGACAATTTGCGAGGTGAGGGGTGTTAAGCTCCGCCCATTTCACTTTTTTCCATCTACCAAATAATAGCAGAATTACTCGCGTCGTTCTATATCGATGTTGCTGTTTAGTTTAGCTATCTCACACTAGGGCCCGTATTTTACAAGACAAGTATCGGTTGAACCCTGATTGCCTGAAACGAGTTTTAAGTGCAGACCAAAACTGAGGTATCGATCTTGTTATAGAACGCGTTTTAAGTTTTACTCAGTTGAAACTAGTTTCAAGTATTGATTTGAACTTACAGTCTGTTCTCAATTATGTTTCCGCATGATCGACAATATTATTCCGTACTACGCACCTAATTATTTACAAAAGAATTTTCTTTTACAAACATAAATTCTGTAAATTTGTATATAGTATACTATTGCCTAGTGTAGCAGTTAACATATTAACAAGCTTGTTGTTCGTCTAAAATTAATTGAATAAATATTAAAATCAAAACGACTAGATATAGGCTATAACGGAACGTTCAAGTTATTCATGAACTCTTGTCATGTTGAAATGTCAAACAATATTTTTATTACATATTTCTAAAATTATAGTACTAGAATAAAATTATACTTTAACAATAAACCAAAAGGTTGTGATGATTTTAATTTTAATATGTATTGTGTCTGTAAAATGTGAATTGATTATAGTATGACAAGTAATTATTTCGTATACAAAATAAAGTAAATCCTTCGTAATTATTCAGAAACAAATTATCGTAAAACACATTCACTTCCTCTATAAAGAATTAGAATGTCACTCATAATTTAAACATTTTGTAAAACTCAGCCTAAGTACAATTTTCTTCATTTTCAAATTAAAAGTAGGTATTGGATTAAAATTGTTTTTCAGTTTCGGCCCTGTCTTTTTGTTCTATTTATGACGATATATTCGATCTATTCGACGATAGACAGTCTGTTTACAAAATGATTACAAAACATTTTGATAAATTATTTTGGTGAGCAAAAATTGTTTAGGACTGAATGCAGAACAAAAATTCAGTATTATTTTACTAAAGTTAAGCTTTACGTACCTTTGTATTTTTAGTTTCCATTACACAAAGTTTAGGCATCTAGTGTCGAATAGATGTAACTATATTGCAAAAAACTGAAAAAAATGCTTCGCGATACAGTTTACCAGTGTGCATTTTGTGGAAGAATAAGATGACGATATTTATTGTCCTTATATTATAGGAGAAAAAGAAAAGAGAATTCGGCTGATGTTTAAAATTTAATTAATGTTTAATTTAAAACTGATCCAACTACGGAAACTATGATGCATTGATTAAAAGCCATATTAAAGGCACAGAATAAAATCAGAAAGTATTACCAATTCAGAAACCAATTAAATAGCCCTTAAAATTGTACCTTAAACCTCGACAAAGTAACAATGTCTAAATTAAATAATATGTTTTGATTTATTTCAATTAACTTGATATAGCCTAAAAAGTTAACTACGAAATTTTTGAAAATTTCCTTTGTTTCTTTTTTAGTATTAAAAATACACTTATAACCCACTTTGGTTGTTGTTAAGCAAGACTCTTTTTTAACCGACTTCAAAAACACAAAAGAGAAGGTTATCCATTTGTCTGTAAAAAAATTCATAGTCATTTTCTGTATTTTTTACATTACGTCATAGGTCTATTGGTCATTTTGTAACATTCGTACATTATAAATATTACAAAATTGTATGTAATGTATATATATAAAAAAAATTGTGCTATTTATCACGATGACCAAATTAGTCATAAAATTTTTGTTAATTAAGGTTAAATTAAACAAACCGTTTTTAATGATTTCAATAAAGGTTTGTTGCTTGTATGTTAAATGACATGTCGAACGTTTTAAATTGTTATACTTTACTTCAAGATTCCCATAGTTTTTTTTAATTATATATGTGCTTTAAAGTATTTTTAATTTTAGGTGCATTACGAAAATTGAGTCAGTAATTCATGAGAAGGTCTAGTAAAATGCATGCTATGCACTAACTATGCACTAACGTCTAACTATGCATAATAAACAAGTACTTACAAAGTGATCAAGATAAAAGTCGACAGCATTCTGTATACCACTACAGTCTCCTTGTTTATGTGTACGAAGCTCTGGGAATGGCTGCAGCTCCACACCATTCTTCTCTTGAACGATTAACCAAAGAGTCGCCAATATTCCTGTTTTCATTCTGCAATACAGAAAAGCAAATAATTGTTTCCTGTAGTCTTTAATCTAAATAAATCATTTGATATCAGATGAAAATCTACTCTAATGACAGATTACATTATAACTTTAGCCAAAAATATACCAACGAACATTTAAGTAACGTACGAAAATACCTAGGGACCTACTAGCGATTTCTTTTTACTCGGTATCTTTTTAGGTATAGTGGTCTTTTTACTTAGCGTTCTAGAGTCAATGTAGTCTTTCCCTGACCTTATAATGGAGTAATCAAAGACTGCAAAACTGCAAAACATATTGTGGCATGTGATGACTATTAATTGATGTCTACCTAAGTAGAATAATAAAAAAGAACTAAGAAGCATATTTTGTATTATACAAAAATGTCAGTGCAATGCAGTGTCAGTGAAATCAAATATAAAAAGTCTTCTTAGGGGCCGTTCACACCGACCGGCACGGAGAGAAGAGCAAATATTTGTCGTGTTAAAAAAAGAGTTTTGGGTTATTCGATTAAGGTTCATTTTTCTATTTAAACGTCTTTTTAAATAAGAGTGCTTAAGGGAAGATCTAACGAGCTCAGTGTGAAACAAAAACATCCATTCTTGCACGCTCCGATTGCGTCCTCTCTTGTTCTGCGTTCACCGCCAGACGCCGTTTTGTTGAGCTATCTAAAGAGGTAAAGCGCCCTTGTAGAGAGAGCACCTGCCAGTGTTTAGCCCATCCGTCCAGTATCGAGTGCTTTTCCAGCCTGTCTATAAAAAGACTTGGTGGGCTCCGGCCAGTTTCAAGCGTATAACCCTCACCAGTCTGTGTGAAACGATGATCGCCGTCCGATGTTCTCCTAGACAGTCTGAGTCAACGGACCCTTAAAGTAGTTAGAAGGTATCATCAGCAAAGGGGTACTGTATGACCTCAGTTTATCATCAGGTCAAAAGCTATTTGCTGAATTAGTGAAAAAGGAATACCGTTTCTTAACTATCCACATACGAAATAATAGATATTAAGATATTAATTAATATTTTGATACATTTCAATTAAACAGTTAAGCATACTGCAATGCATGACTATTTTGTATGGTTTTCACATCAGGCTAAAATTAGAGAGGGGTTCAACCTTCGTACCGCTTAGTTGTAACCTTCATTTGAATAACGCACTTAAAAGCTCTTTCTAAATTTATTGAAATATTAATCACGGTGTACATGTTAGCCGAATTTTGTATCAATCAGGTTAGATTAACTTTTTCATCCTTACTATTTATTTAATTGCAATATCATAAATGCGAATGTGAGTTTATCGGTTTTCACTTCTGAACTACTCAACCGGTTATCATTAAATTTTGAAAGCATGTAGTTTGGGAAATCTTTCACCCAAAAAGAAAGTATCGTGTGTAAGTGCTCTTTTGAGAGAAAAATACCTTAAACGCAATCGAAGTTGCGAGCAAAAGCTAGTACTTAGATAATTAATTATACAAAATTAAAAACTATCCAAGTTATATACAACGGTTCAAAACACCTTTTTATCTTTAAGGTCATACATGTCCCCGTAAGATTTTCTGGTACCTCTATTTAAATTGTTTGAAGGGTATCAGAGAAGAACTGCCGGCTGGAAGAAAGAAGATGTGGGAGGAGTATGTCACGCGACATCGTCCACTCTCATTATCACTTAGGAGGTGCAAACGCGGCGCGGGACGCTCTTCGCTCCTGTCCGCACTTCAAGTTAAGTGTTCCTCACCTGTCGCGGGCGCCACTCTGATGAAATCCTCCAGGACTCCACTCTGAGCTTTACTCTGTCTCTATAACCTTGAAAATCATTATTGTAATATTTTTGCAAAAGTTCTATTCTAAACTGTAAAAGTGACCTGACTGTATAATTATCTCCATTATTTAATTACCAGATCGACCACATGCTAGCATGACGTTAGCACGAGGCCCATACCCCCACGAGACGATACAAAGCACAGTACCCTTCTTTAAATTTCCTTAAATATAACATTTTTATTAGGTAGGGACGTAAAATTTTCGAATATGTGTGTATGTACTCGTATGTAGACCGTTTGCATAAATTAAAAAAAGTTTAATACAGAAAGTATTTTTTATGAAGATTTTATCTTTTAGCTTCTCTCATACACAAATAAATATTAATGTTTGTATGTTTGTCCCGTATGTGTTCCGAAATCATTGATCAGATAGCGATAAAACCTTATTAGGATGCTTTAGGGACGCCTGCGATGGTTCTTGGTTCAAAAAGTTAAAGGTATAGTATAGTAAGTTATAAGTATAAGTATATATAATGTATTCTTTCGTTTTAAATGTAATTTATTTATTATACTCTTTATTTCTATATAATTTACGTGGCATTGCAGAGTATGCCTGGTACAGCTAGTGTTTTATAAAATGACCTGCCAATGAGAGTAAAAAAAAACGTTTTGATATTCAGTCTACTGTGTATTACTTTCCTACGTCCTACATTTCCTAGTATCATTTAGGAATTGCATACAATGCCTAGGAAGTACATAAATTTCCTAGGTATTTCCGTCAAATGTGAACGGATTTTCGAAATTATTTCCGTTATCGAAAGGGTATACTGTCAAGGTGACCACCTAGACAGTATACCCTTTCGATAACCTATTACCACTAAATCAGGATATAGTGATAGGATCGTAGAGAAATGGATGGAAACCCTACAATTTTACAGCCCCAACAACGTTTTAGCCTTTTTCTCTTGCTATATAGGTATTTGCGTCTAGTAGTTATTATTTCATGTTGCTGAGCTGTTGATGGAAGGCTCCTTGACCTTTAAGACTTAGAGGATATCCCTTTTTTCAAAATCTAATCATGCATTAGCCTTGTTTTATTCTTTCAAGATATTTGTTAGGTGTTTGTGTTAGGTTACAGAAACAAAAAAATGTTTGTTACGCAATTATTTTCATGTTAGTTACCTGAAAACTCTTTCATTTTGGAAATTATTATTTTTATTTGGAAGGGTATATCAAATGGGAAGAAAAAATACCACCCCTTGGTGTGGTCAATTAAGTAATGTGGAAAACAATATGTTTTCGGATTCAAATGTAACATCTTACTACCTTATCTAAGTAAAGTAACGGACATATTAAACAATATTTAATATTATCTAACATACTACAGTTTTATAATATACATTAAAGTACATAGTGTTTTAAATTTCGTACTTATCTACTCATTACAAACATATATTCATAATCCTTAAAAAAAAAGTTGAACCGACTTCAAACATTACTGACAAACAGCACTCAAAATTAAAAAATAATTACAAATCTGAGTGAAAAACTATAATATGTGCGACCCTCAATAAAACAGGTAACATTATAATGTCAATAGTCCCCTCTAGTCTGTTTGAAGTCGGTACCAAGCCCGATGCACTACTACTACTCTAATACTCTTTTTCAGTATTGTTTGAAGTCGGTTCAACTTTTTTTAAATCTAAACAATTAAATATAATATTTATATTTATATTAATATTGATTATTTACGGAATCATGTATTCACACATTCTGTTCTACTAAATGATATTTTGTACAAGACTATTTTTCATTTACTCATGATACGTGTAACATCATTCTTAATTTCCCTTTCTTATTTACATACCTCGGAGTTATGACATAGACCTCATCTTGAAAAATAAATGCCTTTGTAGCAATAACGTTCTCCTTAGTATATTGTCCAGTTTTCATCCACACATCTAGACCATGTTCACATTGGACATGCATAGGCCCGCCATTCCATGCTAGATTCCTAAAATGTCCATCTATTAGCACTATTAACCCAATTACATGAGGTACAGTATTTATTAAACCACGTAACATTTTGTTTCGCTGCGTTGTATTGAAATGAAACGGGGAATCAAATGTATTGCCAAACATTGCTTTGACTCTACGTAAATACTGCGGCTTTACTCTCAAAGGTAGTTGAATTATACTAACTTTTAAACTTTCATATGTAGTCTATCGTATGTAATCGTGTATTATACGTCTTCAGGACCATGAGGAGAAATTCCCTGTATAAGACCTTAGAAGACAGTAGAATTGGAAGTGCTCTAGGTCTCCTTATCTTTTTCATCTACATCTAATTCAAACCAATTAAAATAAGGCTTTATTTGGTCTGTAAACCCTTGTGTAGACTCTAGCTATATGAGTACATATACACTTTGAGTGTTCCCAACTTTACGCGCCTTCCTCATAAAATTAATTTTACATTTATATAAAATATATAGAAGGTACAGTATAAACGATGGTCTATTTTAGCGTAGAACTTACCGAGTGATAGGAGTTTTGTGAATAGTCCAGAACCACACAAACATACTCTTTTAATATTAGTACAGGTTGACGATATGTTAAATTTAATTGCTGATGTTTTAGCAATCGTTTCAGAGAAATTTGCGTTTCTTGGTAACATTTTGTTTAGTCATAAATATCAGTATCCAAGATACCTACATTATGTCCGTTATTGCCCAAAAATAATTTTAGAAGTTCCTTATTATATGGTATTACTAACTTCAGTTGACTTTATCTAACATATTAATAATAATATTTCAGACATCTAACACACAACAATATAATAATATAAAGTAGGTACATTAAAAAATAACTTCCTGTTCCTGGTAAACAAATCTGTATAACTTACGATATCTGCCATATAATTATCCCAAGTTCAAGTCTGGCAAAATACATTTTAAACTTTTCCTTTAAGTCACTAAAGGTCATAGCTCTAGAGCCACCCGACACCTGCCCAACACTGCCTCGCCTCGAGCGGTCAGTATTCTTTGTATGGAATACTATGGGTATACGCTCACTACAACAATTCCAGAGCGCCTCATTCGTGAGCTGACCACGTAGTCGAGGTCCCGAATGGATCGCGCTCTTTCTGCAAATGGTTTTAGATATGAAAACTCACACAACATACTGGGTGTCTGTCTGCTCTGAGTTATGAGATCACAATTTCGCTGAAGGAACCGGAGTCGTAAACTAGACGTGCTTGATATTAACTCTAACTTCATATGGAATACTAATACAAGTAAATGTAATACGAATTATTTACAAGTATAAGGACAATAATCTACTGTTTATCCTAATGAAGTAGTGATTCAGGGTGTCAATGGCCATGTCTGTCTCATAAAAAGCGTGGGTATACCTACCGGTATTCGATTTTTGCAACACAATTCTCACGTTAAGAACTCCAATTGTCTCTAAGCTTTATCTTCGCTATCAGCCGCTTAGGCTTTAGTCAGGCGCTCAAAACCTTAAACAACATACTATATTAAAAGTAAGCAGTTTCACGATGTTTTACTCGTATTTTGTATTATTTTGTTCTGTAACCAAATAGTTAAGCTATAAAAAAGTATGATAAACAATGTTTTTGAATAATTCAAAATAATCGTGTGAGTACACACACTTCGTCCGGCTCGACCGAAGCGACACCACGACTAAAACTGGTGTTAAACAACTCTTTCGTTACATATCACCGACTGAGTGAGGCTACAAGAGGACAAACCCAACCCTCTTTCCTCCTAACTCTGATAGGGGAGAGGACTCAAATACTTGCGTCTCACTAGTTGCAGGTGACCACGGATGGCGATAACCACGTACCAGCAAGTGACCCGTCTGCTCGTTTGTCCCTGTGTCATAAAAGAAAGATATTATTAGCAAATTTTTTTACCACATTCACATAACGCCATCTGGTCCCAACCTAAGCAGAGCTTGTATTATAGGTACTAGACAACACATATAAATAAATATATACTTTTTTTGTCAATTGAAAATTTCAATTCACGGCTAGATAATTAAAAAAACACTTAAACAAATTTCGAAATCAAGGATGTAAATTGATATCCACCAAATTGCGATTCGCTCTGATTGTTTTTGCATAGAATGTAAGCTAACTCTTCCGACACAGGGTTCGGCTCACGTTTCCTGTTTCTCTCACAGTCTCCAATACCCGTGTCATTATATTGATCGAGGACAAAAAGCGGCAATTGTGCGCCTGGGAACCGACCAATCGCCTACCTCATAGTTATAGATAGTTGCAGCATTTAGTACATGCACAGCGTTGTAATTGTTGACTTTATTGAGGCCAATCCATTTAACGTAGGTATTTGTTTAAATCACCTAAGTGTTCTTTGTGCTAAGGTGGTAAACAAAAGTACAAACTAGTGTGGTTAATAAATCAAATAATAGTCTAGTATATCGGATATAGCCATACTTTACTAGCCCGAAAATCCAGAACTCCTAAAGCGGGTTTTCCGCCACAAAAGGTAGATTTTTTTGTCTACAATTAAACTTCTTCTAAAATTAGACCGCGGAAGACGCTTTTCATGTGGCGTTTACCCACGCCCAGTATAAGTCTAGCTTTTTCTAAAAATTTAGGAAAATAGTACCTATCCTACGTCGAAACGGATCTGCTGTTCTGACATACCGTCTAAATGTGCATAGGACACAGAGATTCTGTGAGAGGTTATTACTCTTTCAATGCAGTTTTGTCTAATTTAGTTTATGATTAGATTTTCTGGTGTGACATCCGATTGCACTATCGCTGTTCCTGCTAAAACATAAAATCTATATTTCGCAGAAGGCATCAATTTTTCTTGTCTGTTAAGGGAATTCTGTTTACTGTTGTAAATGCTAGAATAGTTAACTTTTGGCAGTTTGTTTATTTTCATATAAAATATGATGTGTTTTTATACCACGTGACTGATAATCATATATTTTTTTTCTTTCTTGAAGAACTCTGTACTGTGTATACCTTCAGAAAGACCTACTAGAGTGACGGGTTTGTTGGTCTAGTGATCCTGACTGCTAAACCAGAGGTCGTAGAACCTGAAATAACATGGTCCGGGTCCTCCCAGATTAGGACACCTGAGGCCGGCCGTAGGGGTGGTTTTTAGTGGAATCAACACATACTCCTGGCTCCTGAGTCCCTGAGGAGCATTAGATCCGCAGGGGTTTTCCAACCCGTCAACAAAAAAAAAGCCAGAGGTCATAGGTTCGATTCTTACCCAGGATAGATAATTGTGTAATAAGCACGATCGTTTGTGCTATGTCTGGGTGTAATTTATAAATAATATGTACATGTTTTATTAAATGTATGTGTTTTTAGAGATTATCATTAAAAACCAAAACGTGATTATGCCTAAAAAAATTGAATGTGTCTTCCAAAATATTTTTTAATACAACTAAGATATCAATAGGGTAGATGACTGTCAAGTCAAATCAGTGTCTTTTTTTAAACGTCAAAACGCTGGACGCGGTACATTTTTGTATGAGATACTATTTCGTGACGTCATAGCTAGTTATTGTCAAATCATTTATATTTAACGTTGATTTCAAGATATCAAATGAATAAAAAAATCAAATTGACGATGGAGGACAATTCAGCCTCTACTTTGAGATGTTATATTTAATGATACAGACGAAATAATTTATTTTAAACCTAGGAATCTACCCTATTGTCTAAGAAAATTTTAAAACGCTTAAATAAAAGTCGTTGCACTCGTCGTATTGATGAGTACTATCAGTAAAGACAACTAAAAATACTTGTTACAATATAAAGATTAATATCCAAATAATAATAATATTGAATTGATTGTACAGTCAACGACAAAATTTGATGATTAAAAACGTTTCAAAATATACCACACCACCTTCGAGCCGATTAAAACCACACGCCTGATTCCCCGGGTGCTGGAGGCCTGAGCTCCCGGGGAATCAGGCGAAACCTAGAGAGGAAATCCCTGTACCCGGCAAACCTCGGGCTATCTACGATTTATATAAAGCGTGAGACGTGCTAGACGCCTGCCTCGCTGTCTAGCTTGGCAGTTCGGTAGAGCCTTCTCTTTTGCAAACCACACTTTCGCTTGTAGAATAACGTGGCGGATTTCCACACGCTTCTCCATCTATGCCAGTATTCTATGGAGCGCTGTACACGCTTCGGCCCTCATAATGGCAAAATGCGTTAGGCTTCGGGGGAAACGGCACAAGCGGACAATGAAGCAGCAAGGTATGAGAGTGTTCCGTGAAATAAAACGGGGCACGGACCAATATTTCTTAGTTTTTATTTCTCAATTTAGACTTAGTAACTTCTTCCTTCCTCTGAGCCATTATTCCCACAACTTGAACCAGGTCAGAGTCGGCTTTAAGTCTACTACAATACAGCTGGCTTTCGATTTTTACGCGGAGCGACTGCTTTCAGATTACACATCCCAAATTTTAGGCGATAGCGAAGTTCTGTAGAAAGACTAGTGTCGGACTTTTTAGGGCTCTAACTGCCACAGATATTCCTATCCCAACGAGTACCTACGGCTTAACATGCTCTCCGAGGTATGGAGGGGTCTAAACGGGTTACGAACAGTCACCCATCCATAGGCTGACCTGGCTTTGATTGCTTAACTTTGCAATGTGTTAACCTACTCGGTTACCACTAAGCCACATAGACATTTTGACGGTAAAAAAACATCGACTAATCAAGCTTCCGAGATCCGGTGGAATGTTAGAGTATCAGGGTAATGGAACATCACGGGTCACTTCTAAGATCAAGTGTACGAGTATGTATTCTCGAATGTTTGAACATTTCGAATCCTTAACTGCTACTATTTAAAAAAAAAAAATCACTGGTATATTGACAGCAGTAATTGCCACAGTAAAAATAATGAAAAGGCATAATTCCTAAAATATATTGGTAAAAAACATTCTACCTCTCGTTCTGTTTGCAAGTGATGTGAAAAAAATGGCAAAAAGAGACCGTCAGAGGTTAAGAACTCTCTTG